GGGAATGGGGTGGTGGAAGGTACCAAAGTGGGGCGGGGAGGGGGGAGTTCGCTGTGGGGAGGGGAAGGGGCGGCGGGGCCGCCATTTTGTGTGGAGGCGCCAACGGGTGGCGGCCCGCGAGGAAGGGGCGTCCGAGTTGCGATGGCCGGCGCTGGGGCTCCGTGGMGGGAGAATGGGGAGGTTCTCCTCGCCATGCCAGGCCTGGGACTTGGGCGGTGGTGGTTGGAGCCCCTCAACAGAGCGGCTGTTTTGTTGAGGGGCTCCAACCACCACCACCCAAGGCGGGAGTTGTGTTGAGGGGCTCCAGCCACCATCCAAAGCCCAGGCCGGAGCTCTGYGGAGCCCCCGCATTTGAGCCCATCACTGCTATCCAGGAAGATGTCTGTAGAGATAACAAGAGCATTACAAGTCCTACAGGGATGTTTGGGGCTCGATAGGCACATTTCATCCTTACAGCGGTTGGGCTGGCACAGAGTTCACCGAGGGGACCTTGTCCTCAGCGCCAAGGGATGAGGAGAGCTGAACCAGCACCAGTAACAACACCTCTTGTTGAAACTAGCACGGGTGATTGTGTGMTCCTCTGGTTTACAATAGCACAGCAGTAAACATGGAAGGAAAATCCCTACAATTATTTCACCCACACTTCCTTACCAGGTTAGGGCTTGGCCACAAGAAGTCTCCAAAGAGTGACTGTGTTATTGTTCTCAAGCCTAGGCTGAATACCCATTCAGGTTAAAAATAGCAAAAAAAAAAAAAAAAAATGTATCTTGCCAAGCTTGAGTACTAGGTCTTTATGCCACTCTTAATTTCTTTCCTCTGCAAGGGTAAAGGTCAAGAAAAGATGTTTCTGTCACAGATGTATTTCACAGCACATTGAAACAAAACTGTTTTGAAATGTAATGTAGCAGAAGTTCTGAGCTTGAGATTCAGAAGCATCAATTAAAACATTACAACTCATCTCTGCTGATTTATATCTGTTTAGCCCATATGCTAAATACATGCATATCACGAGCACTTTAATATATTAGCGCTCTGTGGTAACACTTTGGAGCCGTAGCTCTCCAATTAGCGCTGACGGTACCTAAGCTGATAAATAAAATTATGCCTGGGAATAATTAACTGCGTCAACACGTCCGAGGTGGCACGTGTCTCTAGGCATGCACCACCTGCCTGGGGTGCTCTTATAGCCCAGGGAGCGTGGGTGCTCTAGTCTCTATATGTTTAAGATGAGAGGAGGAACCAGAATAAACACCTGAGCTGAATGGAAGGGGGTGAGGGATGGCTGTGCGGTCACCGTTCCTTATTCCCGGCATTTATTTTTATTTCACCTAGCTGGAAAACAAAATCAATGCAGCGACCTGAATCACTCTCTGACGTAACGCTGTTAAAATGACACGGTGTTAACACGGGCGGTCAGGAAGTGACCCAGGGCTTCCTGGCACAACTGAGTGCAGAGATAACAGCCGTGCGCCTGTTCCTTTGTCTCCCTGCTCCGCTGGCGTTATCCGAGGGAAGGAGCCAACGTGGCACTGCCGGTGGAGCGTTTCCTGGCCGCCCCGCTCCTCGTGGCAGCTTTGCCATCCAGACGCGCTGCCCGTGGGTGCGTTTGGAAGCCGATAAGCCAGAGGAGTGTGTGCACCCACAAGCTGCGCTTGCTCAGGGTGGGGAGGGAGCGATTCGTGATAAGGATGCGTGTGTGCCCGTCTGTCAACGCCTCGCCGTGGTATGTTCCGCGCTCCGCCTTGCATGGGGTGCTCTGCCCCAAGGAGGGACGGCAGGGCACCCCAAGAGCCCTCATCTACACACCGGGTACCGCCGCACACTGCAGCGTCACCTTGTCATCCACAACCAGCAGAAAGCTCTCATTCCAGCATGCTATTATATGCCATATTTCCAGCATGATGTTATATATCATATTCTGTCATTCCCATAAAAAAGGAAAGGCAAGCGTCATGCCCTTGTGTTAAAACACATTGTAAACATAGTAAGTGCACACACCCCATATATATGTATGTATAAAGAGAGAAATTAGTTGAGAGATTACAGGAAATMTTTTTTTTTCCCCCAAGGAMATTAGTGATTTTAACTTTATAGCATGGCTAGTTAATTGGTCAGAGGGTGGTTTTAGAAGGGGCTGGCTCAGCTGATGTTGTAAACCTAGTTTGATCACTGCTTTTCCGTGTAATCCTGAGCACAGTTCTCGGCTTCTCGCAGCCAAAGTGTCTTCTCCTTGTGATAAAGAATAGTAAAAACTGCTCAGTCCCACACTGAGGCTGGGGAGGAATAGTTCCTGCTGGAAAACGTTCATAAACATACCCTGGTGAGCATTTCTGATGAAGGGCAACTCTGCTATTATATAATTATATTGCCAATATCCCGTCAGCAAAGGTTGCTCTAAATTACAGTGACCTTCTAAGGAAATCTTCTGTGATTAATTTTTGTTTATGTTGCATGGACTTCCTCCAAGTTCGCTGCTGCAGACATCAAGGTATGGATTATTTGAATTACTTAGTGGTAATCTAAGTTGGAAGCCGCATGGTGCAGAACAACAGAGTCTTCACAGAATGCATAGGGAGAACATTACTCAAATGTGCTCGAGTACAATCCCTGTTGAAAATCGCACTTTTCCCTGTGCAGATGTGTTTGGTTTCTGTAGGTGTTAGAAAGCAGTGTCTGTATTGAACAGCTCATCAACTTTTTAGTACTTTAGCACGTCCGTATGTGATTGAGCTCTGAAATTTGGCTGGAAGAGCAGTGGAGGTTGAGACAAGTTTTGTGAGAGCACMTCACTCGGGCAGAATGTGAAGGACAGCAGGTACACAAGGATTTTCAGCTACAGGAATTATCAAGCATACTCTACAGGCTATTTATCAGCTTGGTTCCTCTTTATCTTCACAAAAATCCCTTTGAAGGGTGACAGTATTCCCAACCTTACAATTCTAAGTAGACACAGTAGAGAATTCCAGATATTTCATTAGAGGAAAAACAGAACAACAGAAAAACAGGGGGCTGCAGTGGAAACCATGGTATGGCAAATAAAGAGAGTCCGACCTCAGTCATGGTGAGAACTGGYGTGCAGCCTGATGTTAGATTTTGTTGCTTTTAAACCTGATCCTGAATTTCCTTCGGTCACCTCATATCCTTTTAAGGTCAGCAGTGCTGTACCAACACCTATCTATTAGATTTAGACATATTTTGCAAGTCACCTTCACCACAACTTATTTTCTTTTCCTGGAGAAACTGGTTGGTTACGTAGAGACTGAATTTGCAAGTCTAATCTGTGGATTTTATTAACCCTTGTTAGTCTGGTTGCTCATTTGACAGACAAGTTTTCAGGCTTATCTGTAATTTAATTTCCTTTTACATATTCCTAGAAGTCCACAATTCTGTTCAGGCTTTGTAATCTGGATTCCTTTCCATATAAAAAGAACCTGCATATTCAGCATTTGCAGATACAAATAGATCCCAGTGCTGTTTGGGAGCATAAGAATTAATTGTCAGTTCTTCTTTGTTGCAGGGAGACACAGAATTGAAGAGAAGATGCAATTGATAGACCTGCTCATACCTGCTTTGCCTTCAGTTCAGAGTGGAGCTGTAGCAGGTGCTGTTTTTTTCTTACCAGCCCAAGGTGCATCTTTGAACCTGAACTGGGAGCACTCTGTGTATTTGCTTGTGGTATTTCCAGACCYGTGGTGGGCCTAGAAAGCCCAGCCACTGCAATAAACACCAGTTCTTGCTGCGGCAGAGACTCCTGTGCCATGAGACAAGTGGTTGGAATAAGCACAGCCGTGCGTTTTCCATTACTCCCTGCTCCCATTTACTGGGTCAGCCRGCCACGTACCTTGTCTGTGCAAAGGTACAGGGTAAACCTGTGTCCTTGGGAATGGCTGAGACTGCAGGGTCTGCTCTTGAACCTCATCTTGCATAGGGGTGTTTAAATCAGATGAGGCTGTGGTTATAGCTATTCCAGSGTATGGTCAGGACTGCTAATAGCAGGAAAAACAACATGTGAGGGAAGACACAGTTGACCTTTGTAATCACTTGCGCTTGCAAATGCCAGATTTTTCCAGCTCTGCTGTGACTCTGCAAACTGGACACCATGAGTTAAGGCTTCAGAGAAGCCCATCTGGGGAAAAGCCTCCTCTCTGAGCAGAAAAAGCCTTTCCTCTGCATCCCTCTAATTGAGAAGCACCTGAACACATCTTGTTCCTGTTCCCATGTCAGTGTCACCTCTGGGCAAACCCGCAACCACAAAATGCTGCACTTGAGGGTTTCAGAGGGAACAGTGGCTTTGTCTGCAGGAAGGAAGAGCCTGAAACACAGGCAGTGGCTGCAGGCAGGCGGCGAGGCCCAAGGGCCAGGGAGCAGCTCCAGGAGGCAGCCTGCMTCCCACCCAAGGATTGCACCAGGGATTGCACCTGGCAATCCAATGGGAATTCCTGCACCAAAGGAATTCCCATTGCTGCAATACCCCGAAACTCCTCTTCCCTGCCAGGGCGGTCGGCTACGGGGCAGCACCAGCGCTGTCGCATCACAGACATCCCCTTAGAGGAGCAGGAGCTCACAGGGAGGCTTAGCACAGACCAGCTCCCTTTGCACTCATTTATTTACCTGCTGTTTTTCAAGGAAGCCCTTACGGGCTCAGCCAAACCATTCCCAGCCAAGTTTTCTTAGGCTCCCTTGAGAGATACAGGCTCCGTGTTCAAGAGAGAGCAGGAGCACTGAAAACAGGACCTTCAGGTGGACCCACTGTGAGAGTCCTCATGAAACCCAAGGGAATGGGTGGCTGCAGRAACGAAACGCTGAGCAAGGAGCCATGGAGTTTTCTGGGATGCTAAGTAAAGCAGCACTGCTGTGAGGCAGGGAAATTCCAGCATAGCGTCGGAATGGTTTTGAGAAGTTTCYGAAGGGATTTTCTGAGCGTTCCCAGGCTCTGTACGAGTTTGGACATTGGGCCAACTAAAAGAGTCTGCGTTAGATTAGTGCGACTGGATCCGAGACAGGGCACAGCCTCTGCRCCAGCCTTCCCGGCCGCGAGGAAATCCTCAGAGCTTTAGCAGACACATCCAGTCATCGCCCTCCAACAGCGCGGCGAGACCACTTGGACACGCCAGGAGCTGCACAGCTCGGCGGAAAAGCAGCCCGGAGTGATTGGGATGCAGAAAGGAGAATCCAGCACCTGTGGCAATGCACAGTCAGGCCCTGTTTCCAGGCTGGAGCGCTGCCACCGGCAGAGACAGTCTGCTCTTTGCAATGTGCCATCCCCAGTGAAGCTTTTTGGATCTCAAAGGGGAGCACAAAAATAGAGTTATCGGCACTGTGGGCTTGGGAAGCAGCATCTCATACTAACYAGCACTGTGCTAACAGCACTTCCCAGTTCCCAGGATCCAACTCCCCCCCAAATTTTTAATTTAAGCAGAGATTAATTCTGCTTTTATGAACTGCTGGCCTTATTCTACTCCCAGTTACTGCTCTAAGTGTAGAATTAAAGCTGTGCCCTGCAGCAAGGCCTCACCTCTTCACAGTTGCAGCATGAACGTACATCAGGCAGGACCCTTGACTTAAGTGTGGAACTAACTGGGGGGCAACTTAGGCTTGGATTTTTGTCCTGCCACAAAAGCAAGCGGCCAGGAGACTCCAGCTGTGACGTGCTGCGCTCTGAGAATGGGTTAGAGAGCCTGGCCTTTTGCATGAGGCCGACTACTGCATGGGATCTAGGATGAGAACAAGCTCTTAAACTGGTTCTAAACCAGTTCTAACCCCTCTCCTGCTGGCGTTCAGAGCTATTCTCATAGTTTGCATGCCCGATTCCCTGCAGGAACCGCATCCCATCCTTCCCCCCAGGGCACCAGTGTGTGCATGACACAGCTATATTCCTCCGTCACCTCACGTGAGCATCACTGGGAAAATCCTGCTGCTTCCAGTGCAAGAAGCACCTCCTACAAGAGCGGCTCAGATGTCGAGTGGCAGAGGTAGTATTTTATTTTTAGAGCATCCCTCCTCAAGGACACTAAAGAGTCTGTAAAACATCACTGAACAGAAAGAAAACACTGCCCAAACTGCCCCAAAGTAAAACACAGCAACGTTCAAATACCAGAAAACATGAGAGCTAAAGTGCTTGATATCATTTCCCAACAGTGCAGAGTCTGAATCAATGCGCCCCGTATTTTTTCCAATAGCACCTGCCTGGCTCCATAGGTTTCTGCACCAGTCCATGGCAGGATAACACTACTAAGCCAGAGCCATTATCCCCAAAAGCCCAGGAACATCTTTCTCTCCTCCCTTCTTACTCAAAATAAGTTAATAAATAATATTCAAAGAAACACATTTCCAAGATCAAACAGCTGAAATTTGACTTCAATGTAAGTGACCGTATGGATTTTCCATGCAGTGAAGTCGCTAGCATTACCTGGAAGGGGGAGAAGCTTTGGTGCGATTTATAAAGTGCTGTCTTTTAGTGTTCTGCCTGTTTTTAATAAAGGGTTTCTCAAAAGAGCACCGGGACCGTGAGATCAAGACAAAACAAAAAACCACCCTGAAATAACAGACCAGCTTTCAGTGGGTGCTGGGGCCAGAAGGACATTGCATAATGCACACAGTGAGAGATCAATTGGGAAAAAAATACTGCAGAGAAACAAAACCAAACCTGAAACAATTAAGAAAAAACGTTGTGATTAAACTTTTCATCCTGGGAAGCAAATACCCACCCAGCACCAAGAGCAAGTCTGAAAGCCCCCGGCCCCGTGCGTGGGGAGGGTCTCTGGATGACGCTGGCCCAGCCTGAGCCCGCAGGCACTCAGGGCACCCCGGGAGCGGATCCGGCCGCTGCCGAGGCCGAGCGGAGCTTCCTGCGGACCTCGGCAGCCTCTGGATCGGCTCCTCGGGCGGACAGCACGAGCAGGACCCCCGTTTATAGTCGCTGCTCTCCTGTCCAGCCGCAAAAGCCACTTCCTGAAGTTCCTGAAGGGGTTTTAACCTTCCCCTCCATGCATGCATTTGACATCCATAACAATAAGAGCAGTTGCACATGCAGATCAGTGGGAGAAAAGCCYCCAACGAGAGGAATTGCCGATTGTAAGAAAAAGAAAGCCAGCAGAAACGCTGGCAGTTGCTAAAGACCTGATTCCCTCGGATAAATCTGGCTCCGGGCGCCGCCGCAGGCAGCTGCCCGCTGGCCCGTGGGCGGCGAGCTCGGTGGCGGGTCTGTGTGTGCAGGCGGAGCGGCGCGCGGGCAGCGAGCGGGCGCGCGCCTGCCGGCCGGCCGCCTCCTGCCTCGGCGCCCCAGCAAGYGTCTCGACCGCCGGCGCTCGCCGCTCTCCTCACTTGGGCGCCGAGGCGCCGTAATCCTCTATCCTGAACTCTTCCTCCTGCCGGCCCGGCGTCTTCCTCGCGTCGGCCCGGGCCGCGGGCTGGTGGCCGTCCGCGCCGCCCGTCTCCAGCCCCAGGATCTGTCTCTGCACCAGCTTGCAGTAAAGGCCGCCCTCTTCCATGAGCTCCTTGTGCGAGCCCTGCTGCACCACGCGGCCCTTGTCCAGCACCACGATGTTGTGGGCCTTCTCCACGGTGCTCAGTCTGTGAGCTATGACCAGCACCGTGTGGTTCTGCAGGTCGCCGTAAATTGCCTTCTGGATCTGCGCGGAGGGAAAGGACGTCAGTGCCCGAGCATGGCCGGGAGGACAGCGGTYTGTTTGGTGCCTCCGCTGGGTTTTAGCTGGGGTGACTCGACCCTCCCTCCTGCAGCAGCATCCTTTGGGGAGCATCTCTGCATCCTACCCCACGCTGCTATGTGTTGGATAACAGCCTCCTTGCTTCCCAGAGGCACAATCTGCACCCGAGCGTGCCAGGCAGGCGCTGGCTCCTGTAAGCACAGGATTGTGCCCTCCTGGGGCTGGAGGTGGCTTGTGCTCAGGAACGAGCGTCTTGCACTAACCTTCCACGTACCCCTTGCCCCATGTCACGAGCAAACCTGTCTACAGGCTGGAAACTGAAGCGAGCACCTTTGCTCCGAGCCCCCTTTGCCTCCTCAGTGCCACCGTGGAGTCGCCCACTCACCGCGTGCTCGCTCTCGGCGTCCAGCGCGCTCGTGGCTTCGTCCAGGATAAGGATGGGGGGGTTGCGGATCAGGGCCCTGGCAATGGCCACTCTCTGCTTCTGCCCGCCGGAGAGCTGCGCTCCTTTCTCACCCGCCTCTGTTGGGGCAGGAGAGAGGAAAGGGTCAAAAGGAAAGCAAAAAGCCTCTGCTGCACCCAGCTCCCAGCCAACAGCGTCTTTGCTTGGAAGCAAAGATTGGGCAAACGCTTTTGCTTCATGAGTTAAGCATCCCCGAGACGTTGATCCTTCTCTCCCGCAGCAAGCCTACGTGGTTGTCCCCGGATTTAGGGAACGATGCTCATGGAGACGATGCCAAGAAGCCCCCCAGCCTGTGCGACCACCCAAACCCCGCGGCGGGTCCCCGCGGCGGCGGGTACCTGTGTGGTAGCCGTCCTGCAGCTCGGTGATGAAGGAGTGCGCGTTGGCCTTCTGGGCAGCCTGCACCACCGCCTCGAAGGAGGTGGACGTCAAGCCGTAGGAGATGTTGTCGGCGATGGAGCGGGCAAACAGCACGGGCTCCTGGCTCACCAGGGAGATCTGCCGAGAGGGAGGGACACATGAAGGCGCCGCCAACCCGCCCGCCTGTGTCCTTCAAGAAACTCCAAAGTTGTGGTGGCTGCAAGTTCTTGCAGGCTTAGCATTAACCTCTGTGTCCAGCCTTTAGAACCACTGCTGCTCGCTCGTGAATTTTTTCTTTGTTTTGAGGAGCATTTATGTATATTTACATAAACTAAACCCTCTGGTTTATCACTCAGAATGGGAGAGATGGCACTTGTATTTTAATTGACTTCTCTCCATGCTCCTAACACCTCACCAGGCTTTCTAAACTGAAAGACATGTCTGTGTTTTGATTCCCACCGTGTACGGGAAGGGAATATAAATGAGCTGCCTAGAGTCTGRCTTTTTAGGCTGGGCTCACATTGCTTTTTTCTGGATTTGCCAACAGTTGCTTGGGCCACTGAGCAAARAGGGCAAGAGATGAGCCCAAGGGACCGGGACGCTGCTCCCAGCAAAGCCCTGAGCACTGCGGACTCCAGGTGCTTTAACCACCCAGTATCTGGGTGCTCCTTTAATGAAAGTGCTGGAGAGATGCAGAGAGGTTTTGTAAAACCCATCTGAGACTGTAGTTAATCCAACCACCAACACTGGACGACTACCACCCGTCAACCCCCTCTGAACAAGCTGGTGCTGGATAGAGGGCTCAGGTGGCAGCTCATACCACGGAGTGCAGGTACTTGTGGTCGTAGGTGGCAATGGGGCGCCCGTCCAGCAGCACCTGCCCGTCCTGCAGCGGGTAGAAGTTCTCCAGGATGTTGACGCAGGAGCTCTTCCCGCTCCCCGAAGGGCCCACCAGCGCCGTCACTTGGCCGGGCCGCAGGGTGAAGGACACGTTCTGCAAGAGGGGACGCGGCAGCGCGCTCAGGAGCCGCCCGTCCCCAGCAGCTGCCGTGGGGAACGTGGCTTGGGCACTGCCCAAGAGCCACCGGCCGCGCTCACCTGAAGCACCTGGGTTGAGGAGCGAGTGCGGTAGGAGAAGGTGACGTTTCTGAACTCCACCTGCCCGTCCACGTGGTCCGGGGCCAGGGAGCCGTCGTTGACCATCGTGGGCTGGCGATCGATGAACTCAAACACCTTCTCAGCAGCTCCCACCCCCTGCATCAGCCCGCTGTAGACGGAGCCGACGGACTGCAAGGGAAGAGGCAACAGTGATGGGAATGGCTGCTGGAGTCGTTTGCAAGGAGGCCGGCATGATCCACAGCACGAAACAGCAGAGCAATAGGCCCAGAGGCCTAAACCAGGCTCACCTCCATGCAGTCTCCTAGGACGAACTCATAAATGATGAAGGATATCAGGTTTCCGCTCGTCATTTGCCCCGAGATCACCAGGTGTCCCCCRTAGTAGAGGATGCTCACTTGGACCACCAGGAGTGTCAGCTGGAAGCAAGCAAAGACCCACCACATCAGCAAGGACATCTGAAGACATTCGTGCCAGCCCTAGCAGYCAGCTCCCGTATCACTGGGGCCAAATTAAGGAGTCAGATCAGGATCTTTCAACCTAAAGTCTAGTGGAGCAAGAGCCAGGCAGGAGAATTCATTTGAAATAAAATCTCGGAGAGTTTTTTCTTGCACTAACATCCTCAAGTGTAATAACCCATACTGAGGGTATCCTATGCATGCAGTACTCTCCTTGCTAAAATAAACTTTGCATTGTATGAACATAACACATTTTCATCTGGAAACAGAAATAAGCCAAGAGTTAATGTGGAAAGTCCTCCTTGTGCACACAGGCCCCTGAGCCAGCCCGATCCTGCTGGGATCAGCGGGTGCGTGGGGCGTTTCCACCTACGCGACGAGGAGAGGGAGAAGCCCTTATATAAGAGAGAAGAGTCTGCACCATTCCCTGTTCCTGGCGTGCTCAGGAATGTGGTGATACCTCCGTGCCGTGTCCGACATGCATCCCACAGGATGCACGTTCACATGGACAGAAATACCAGGGGAAGGTTCCTCCCCTATTTCTCTGCCACACTCTGACCTCCAGGCCCTGCCTTTCCTCTGAGGAAGACTCTGCTGCAGCAGTGCTAAATCTGGCAGCATCTCCTTACATGAACTCCCCGGGAGCCGTTTCTGATGGCTTTTGCCTGCTTGGAATCAGCTGGATCTGCTCTGACCCAGTTCCCACTGCTGCCTTCACTGGAAGCTCAGGAACGGTGTTAGAAATGCTCTAATTTTGCCTCCAAACCTGTCCAGCCCCAAGCCTCCCATGGTCACGCGAGGATGTCCCAAGCCCCAAGCCTTCCAACCCAAGCTGCTTGTGTCCTTGGGCACAGGGGGAAGCGGGGAGCCTCGCACGAAGGCTTCGCGCAGCCGTAGTGCTGCAGGAGAAGTCCCAGAGCATCCGCCCTGAAATAACGGAACCGCAATGCGCGGAGAAGCCCGGCAGCCTCCGCAGGCTCTGTGGCCACTTCCCAGCTGGAGCCTCCAAGGAGGAGCTGGAAAAGCCCGCCCTGCAGCAGCACRGGTTCCCGTGGCCTTGGGTGCTCACCTACAAGATGAGGTGAYATCCTACATCTTGAGGTGAYACCACGAGATGATGTGGTGGCACCRTGCAAYGGTGCCCTAAAGGGGAGCAGAGCCTTTCCTGAGCAGAAAGCCAAGGGAAGGGGGAAAGCAGCCATCCTGGGAGCGTGTGAGCCATCGCGTGGGGCGCGGGCCACCTACCCCGCTGGACCACACGTAGTAGGTGTAGGCYAGGGCCTCCTTCTTGTTGAGCTTGTAGACCTGCTGCAGCTTCTGCCAGTACACGTCRGCCTCGGCCTCCTCGTTGGCAAAGCTGCGCACAGTTTTCATGGCCGAGATGGTCTCCTCGGCCGTGTTGTTGGCCTTGGCCAGGGCGCTCTGCACCTCCTTGGAGAGCTTCTGCGGGGAGCCAAGGGGAGGGAAAGGGGCTCAGACAAGGCTGGAGCAGAGCCAAGATGAAGGCAAGGACGGAGCAGAGGCCACGCTTGTCCACCCAAGGGGCACAGGGCAGCTCTGCGGTCCTCACCTACCTGGTAGTACTTGCCGTAGACCTCAGACACCAGCATGATAATGGGGAAGCCCATGAAGGTGACGAGCGAGAGCTTCCAGGAGAGGCTGAACATGAAGACGATGACGCCCGTGGCCTTCACCACGTTGCGCAGGAAGATGTTGATGTTCTGGGACACCAGGTCGCTCACGATGGTGGTGTCCGATGTCAGGCGGGAGATGACGTCCCCTGCGGGAAGGAGAGGGTCAGGGAAGAGCATGGACCTGTGACCGTGATGRGGCCTGGCCGAGTCATGTTCCCGGCCATCCAGCTCCCTCAGCACCTGCTGCAGGTGCAGAGCAAACAACCCAAAGCGCTGCATGCACGAGGGACAGGAAACACAGTGACGGCACCACGCTGGGTCCCTGGGAGAGCCTGGGGCCGCTGCAGCAACGGGCAGCTTCCCACACCGGCCCCACACGAGCCCGGCACAGCAAAAATAACATCCCTAGTGTCCTTGGCTACCAGGCCACCAGYGACTGCTAAATGCAGCTACAGCCTCCAAACTAAAAATACCACTGGGAAGGAAGGAAACAAAGAAAGAGCCGCAGCGGATGGATGGGAGCCGCAAGCGCCCAGGGCAGCCATGCAGAGGTGGTGGGTGAGAGGCTTTCCGGACACAGGGAGGAGGCTGACAGCAGCCGGGCACCCAAGGGAGATGCTGGAGGGGGAAGTGTTGGGATACGCAGCTCTGAACATCTYGGCCTGGATGGCTGGGCACCGAGTCGCTCACTGGTGGTGTCCTCAGGGTGATGGGAACCCTGTGCTCCACAGAGCCCTGGCCATTCTAGTGGGCACTGATATTCTGTGTAAATTCAGCTCTTCCCCAAAATGCCTTACTTATGGGGAAGCTCTTTTCCCTCTGTCCTTCTGCACATTTGCACTTAAAACCTAAGAGTGTTTTAACCAGCTTCCCAGTGCTAACTCCAGCTGGCTCAAACCTGCTGCTTGCAGGGCAGGTAAAAAACAAGGAGGAAAAAAGCACCGTGTGCCCGGAAMAAGCGTCGGGCAGGATGTGGGCAAAGGATGCACGTGGGCACCACCACCACCCACGGAGGGAGGCACCGACCTGTGCGGTTCTCGTCGAAGAAGCTCATCTCCTGGGCCACCAGCGACCTGAAGAGGCAGTTGCGAAGGCGGAGGTTCAGCCTGGCAAATATGAGCGTAAAAACGCCGCCCCGGACACCTGCGGCAAACGAGCTAATTGCAGATAAGAAACGTTATAGAGCAATGGCCACGAAACCCGCGCCTCCGCGCCGCAGCGCTGCCCCGACCCCGGCGCCGCAGCCGCACGGTGGAGCYGGGGGACCCTCCCGAACCCCCCCGGCTGCCGCCAGCCCYGGGCACAGAGCTGCCTTGAAGCCCTGGGAGACATTCCTGCTGTTTTTGGCCTGTGGGCAGCGTGGCTGGTGCAATCCCTGTCTGTGCCAGCACAGTGCAACCTCGCCCCGTGCATGGGAGACCTGCAGCTCCCGCTAGCAGGAGGCTATGGGACCCTTCTCCCTCCCGGAGGCTGGAGGCAGCCTCCCAGCTCCGTAGGGAGCCGCCGTGAGCGAGACGGAGGTGCGCACCGGATGAAAGCAGCCCCGCGGTTACCTGCCGATGGCCAGCAGCGACATGACGAGCACGGCGGTGGAGAAGCGGTCCATGCTCTTCTGCACCACGATGCCGTCGATGGCCACCCCGGTGTAGTAGGGCAGGAAGGTCTCTCCTGTGGCCGGGCACAGGTGAGGGTCATGGAGCTGCCATGCTCTCCGGGAGCCCTCCCTGTATCCCTCCCTCTGGCTCTATGGAGCTGCCAGCCGCCTACCTCTTCCCCGGCCATGGCCCTGCACACGGTGATGGCCCAGGGCCAACCCTGTCCCTCCCGGCCACAGAGATGCCTGGCCCTGGGGCAACATGTACCATGAGGCCCAGCCTGGCATGTGCACAGAGGCTGAACTTTGCACCACGTTTCTGCCCCCTCTGCACTTTTTTCCTTTGCGTTTCCCCCAACTGCATTTTGCATGTGCACTGCATCTTCCCATTGCATTCTTACCCTCCCTGACTTTTTTTCCCATTTATTTCCTAACATTGCATTTTCCTATTGCATTCTCACCCCGTGCTGCATTTTTCACCCACCTCCCCTTCATTTTCCCATTGCACCCACTACTCCAACTGCATTTTCCACCCACCCAACTGCATTTCCCCATTGCATTCCTACCATAGCCCATGCACGACTTGCCACCTAGCCAAGGGACACCCCCACCGCAGCTCTGTGTCCCCCCCAGCCCCATCGAGGCCCACGGCAGCCCCCCACGCTCACCCAGGGCGGCCACGAGGAGGAAGAAGGAGGCAACCCCCAAGAAGAAGGCGTCGGGCTTGGTGTACGCGAGCAGCTTGTGGATGGTGGGTCCCGCGGCCTCGTCGCGCTTCTGGTGCGCGGAGCCGCCCTCGCAGCTCTCCTCGGCGCGCGACTCGGAGCCCAGCGCCTCGCGGGAGGACGTCACCGACGCCAGCAGCTGCCACAGCCCCAAGGTGGCCGCCAGCGCCACGTAGGTCCAGGCGAAGAGCCCCCAGAACCAGGGGTCGCGGATGGTCCTGCGCACCTCGGCGTAGAGCAGCAGCTTCACCAGCATGTAGATGCCCATGAGGAGGCAGACGACGGCGATGAAGGCGCGCGAGGCGCGCAGGCGCCGCGGCCCGTAGGCCGTGTTGGTGGCCACGCCGATGGCGGCGCCCAGCAGCACGCAGCCGCGGTACAGGCAGCCGCCCCACACGTCGAGCAGCGAGTTGAAGATGTTGAAGTGGCGCAGGTCCTCGAGCAGCGCCCGGCCGCCGCGGCCGTGCGCGTAGAGCAGCGTCGTCACCGCCACGTCGGCCCCGCTCAGCACCAGCGTGCCGGCCACCGCCTTCCAGGCCCGCATGCTGCCCACGGTGGGGGGGGGCCGGGCGGCCCCGGGATGCTCCTAGCGCGGGGATGGAGCCTCCATGTGCGCCTSTCCCTGGGGGAAAGAAAGAGGAGGTGAGGAGAGAGGCTCCCCAATGGCCAGGGGCTGGGATCRGTGGGGGAAGAGGATGTGGGGGGAGGACGGCTGGGTGGGATGTCACTGGTGGGAGGTTYAAGCCCCACTTGCTGAGCGCGCTCCCTTCCAGAGCTGGATCCCGACGGGATGCATTGCTGGAATGACACATCCACATGGTCCCGTATTGCTGCTTTAAACTTGTCCTCCTCCCTGCTTTTCCGAGGCTGCTGCTCAAACCGAGCACTCGATAGCAGGGCGGGGGGCGGGTAGCAATTATGATTATCACTCTATCAAAGCACAGCAGTGAAAACGGGAGGTGCGGACACGAGGACACGTCCGAGGGCCGCCCGCCCCCGGGCACAGCGAGCGGAGGAGGCTCCGCACCGGGCGCGAGGGAACGGAGGAAGAAGAAGARGAGGAGGAAGAGGAGGAGGAGGAGGCGGCCAGGGCTCCGCGCCAGCCCCGGCTGCGGAGGCGCAGGGCTCGGCCCGGCCGCAGGGAGCCGGGCACGGACGGCGGCACCGGCGCTGCCGTCGGGACGCGGGCGGCTGCGAAACGGGGCTGCGGGCTCCGCTAAGGGGAAGGGCCCGAGGGAGCCCGGGCGGCGGCGGGGCCCCCACCCCCGGGGCCGTTACCGGCGCGGCCCCCGCAGGCCCCGCGTCCCGCGCCGGGGATTAGACAGCAGATTAGAGCGGGCGGCGCGCGGGTAACGGCTCCCGCCGCCCGCCAGGGCCGGGCCGGGCAGCGCGAGCGCGACGCGGCCCCTACCTGCCCGCTCCGCTCCTGGTCCCGGTGCCGGTGCCACCCGCTGCGGCGCGTCCCGGTACCGGTCCGGCGGCGCCGCCCCGGCGCAAGGTCGCCAGGGGGCGGGGCCTGCGGACGCCACGCCCCCCGCGGCAGCGGCGGCCACGCCCCCTGCCGCCGCAGCGGAGCCTCCCGCGCCCGGCGCGGAGCGGGACCCCCGGCCCCCCCCAGGAAGCTCCGCACGCGGAGGGGCTGGGGACGCTCCCCGTTTATTTCTGCAGCGCTCGAGCAAGGGAGGGGGGTACAGAGCCGCGGGCGGCGTGGAAACACAGCGGTGATTCCCGTCCCCAGCCCCTGTCTGCTGCTTCCCGCGCTGGAATTCGGGATTTCCTCCGGAGATGCAGCCTGAAGCACCCTCTGGAGCCGCTGTCCAGCTCCATGGCACYGGAGCGGGCAAGCGCGGGATGCTGGAGCTCGCCCCGCTCCCGGAGAGGCCAGGATGCGCTACCGGGGGAGCCGGCTGCTTCTGCCGTTGCCATCRCCACCAAAACCGCCCTTCCTCTGGGCTGTATTCCTGATCTGCTGTATTCCTRATCCGCCCCTCGTGCCGAGGCAGCCACCCAGCCGCTGGCGGGACGCTCCAGCTCCAACAAACAGGGTCCAGCTTCTGCTTCCCATCTGCACCCGGTCCCTGTTCAGGAACTCCCCTGGGGCAGGACTCACCCTGCATTCCATGCAGACCTTTTGGCGAGGGGCTCCTGCTGCCAAAACGTAAACGAGGATGACACCCCCTCTCTGCCTTGCAGGGATGGTCCAAGGGCWGCGCCGGGCTGGGAAGGTCCCGAGCAGACTGAACATCCTCGTGTGAACCTGCCCCTTCCTTCCTCGCCAGGCTGTGCGTGCCCTGGACTCCCGCCCAGCTGAGCCACGCACCTCGGGGRCAGTCCATGCTGCTGGCACCAGCCCTACGAGGGCCCTGACTAACTGGTCGTCTTCGCCGCAGTCACGCTCTGCTCGGGCGGCAGGACCGTCTCGATTTGAAACGACACAAACTGGCCCTTCTTCAGCTTCTTGAGGGCAGGAGCCGCGCTGCTCCCGAACACGGGGTCYTCCACTTTGAACTGAAGAGCAGGCAGGCCCCGGCCCTTCCTTTTCACGCTCTTCCGCTCCTGCTTGAAAGCTGCGCTCATGTTGGCAATCACCTGTAAAGCAGAGTGCTCAGGTTGGGCCTGGAGATGCTGCTTAAAAAGTAGTTGGGCCCTGTCTCATGTGAGCTAAGCTACCGAAAGCCCTCACGGTAACGGAGCCGCGGGGCAGCCGGRCCTGGCAGGACGTTGTTGGACCAGCCAGGAGAGCTCGGGTGCAGGAGGGACGGGACAAGGTCTGTCCTTGTCCCGTTCTCACCAGGAACACACGAGATCTTACACAGCAAGAGACCTCATATAAAGAAACCACAATCTCATCTCCGAGCTCAGGAGACCTGTTCACTCTCCATCRGTAGAGGGCAGAAGGGGATCTCGGCTGGAGTTACACTGGGCGGGGGGAAGCTTTTAATTTCCCTTGTTAATTACAGCTCTTGCCATGGACCATCAGCAGGCAAGTGACGGATACCAGAGGAGCCCTTAGGGTCAGGACGCTGCCCGATGTGTTTCTTACCACCCCGTGGCACCATCTGTATCTCCTTTTCATAAAAGGGGAATGTGAGCGAGTGAGCTTGAGCTGCCAAGAGAAGCTGGAAATAGATCCCACGTGTTCAGCTTCCAGGCCTCCTCCCTGCCACCCGCCTTTCCTACAAAAGCCCAGGTGGGCTCCGAGAGGACCTTGAATCAAAGAYGTGATGGAGCAAAGGCACTTGAGCCTTGTCAGCACTTTTTGGCACACAGCTCTCCCAGCACTCTATAAGGGACATCAAGGTTACTTTTCAAGTCAGGAAACCAAGACAGAGAGACAAAATAATTTGCCCAAGGTCACTCAGCACAGCAGAGGCACAGTCAGGAACTGGATGCCATTTTCTGAACCCAGCACTGGACTACAAGGCTGCTGCTCCTCGTTGTAGCCCTGACCTCCCCAGCTCCTCTCCTCCCATTCTGGAGCAGGGTTATGTTTAACAGTCCTTGTTACAGGGTAGGTCCCAAAGGCTTTTTTTTTTTTTTTTTTTGTCCCTGCCTATGAAAGGACTGATCTGAGATGCAGATTACAAGGCAGAATCCTGGGCAGGCTGAGACACGGCTCTCATTAGCCTTGGCAAGGGCARCTAATGCCTGGAATTTCCTCACCCAGTGCCGAGCTGCAGCACCCCCAGCTTCCCGAGGGAACCTTATGGTGCCAGCTCAACACTGGGGTGGGCCAGGTCAAATTCCTGCTGTCCTTGGCACATATGGACACGCCACTGCCCACCTTTCCGCGAGTAAGAGCAGCGGTGTCTCAGGAATTGCTGGACTGGCTTCTGTCTCGCTCTTCCCCAGCCTTGGGTGTCTGCAGTGCGGGGCCTCCCTGACACCCTCCACTTGCACACCGTGGGTTGAGCCCATCAGCCACCTTCCACGTCCAAAGGAGAGACACCTGCGAGATGGTCCCGCTCCACCTGGACAGACGGGGCCAAGGGCCATCTCTGTGTGCATGAGCAGCATGTGTCTTCACACGGCACTTGTACAGTCAAATCTGTCCTGTGCAGCCTGCTGCAAGGGACCCTGMGGGGAGCTCAGAGGCCGGATAAACGTTCTCAAAGCCCTGCAAGACTTACAATTTGCTTCACTGCGTTCTGCTGCTCCTGCACTGCGGCTGTGAACGGCGGGAGGCTGTCTGCCTTCGCGGAGCCAGCCCCCTGCTCTTTAGAGTCCTTCACAAAATCCACCTGCAAAGTACAGATAAGTGGGTGTTACTTATCTGGGTGTTACTTTGGACGGTGACAACCCCCTTCCACAAGTCTCCTTTGTCAAGAGGTTACCTCAGACGACAGGCACACGTATCGGTTGAACATGAGGAAGAAGGGGGTGTACTTTGTGACGGAGTTCACCGAGGTGCGGAAGTCGAAGAGCACGGGATCAAGGTGAGCATCCCATTCACCGGGCTTCTCGTTCACCACGTTGCTGATGGAGGATCTGAGCACCTCGGCGCCGCGCTCATCCAGCCCTGTGCTGTCTGCAGGCTCTGCAGGGGTGAGGATCTGTGAGATGTTCCAGCGCTCACACAAATGCCGGCTGACCTGCAAAGGCAGGGGGTTATGGCCACCCGAGAGCAAGGTGGGTCTGCAGCCCCACAGGAGCCAGCGAAGAGCCTCCCCGGCACAGGAGCAGCATGGCCCAGGCCCAGGGGAGGCTGCTCAGCAGTGAGTTTCACCAGCAGCCACGAAGAACAGGTTTGGGAACCCATCTTCTAAGCACTTTAAACAACATGTCTTGGCACTGACAGGATCTGGCAYCAGGAATGGCTAGAAGCACCAGGTCAGAACTGAAACTCTTGTGTCTATCTACTACAGGTCCTTAAATGATGTTAAATAGATGGTATTTAGGTGCCTAAGTTACCTACTTTAAGGCACTTGGTTACAGCAAGTTGACTCAGTATCACTTCTAATGAAACCCACTGAGCAGAAATTCTCCTGAAGGCCTGAGAAGGCTGCAGGAATGGAATGAAGGTCTAGGTGTACACCAAGCTCTGCAGCTGGTTTGTCAGAGCCTGACAAAAGGTTTGGCAACAGCTCTCTCTGTCTGGGGCTTTCCACGCTGCTGGGAAGCTGGGCTAATGCAGGGCAGGGCACTAAGCTCACAGGACCCTTTCCTGCTGCTCTGGAGGTGTGACTGGAGGACTTGCACAACAGAACCACAGCTTCCAAATCCCTAACGCAGTGAAAGCGCTGGCAAGTCGTGCCCTGCTTGCGACAGGGCAGGGAGGAGGTGGCATCAGCCTGCAGTACCCTGTACCTGATGTGCTGTGGCTCTACCTTTAGGTAGAGGCTCTTACCTCTGCCTAAAAGAAAATGCTGAAAGCTTTTCCCTGGACCATCCCATGCCTGACTTACCTCCTCACAGAAGTCCCAGCCCTGCCTGGCGTAAATGTTCTTGGATGCTCCAAACCTGAACAAGAAGAGGACACACAACCACTTGCCATCAGTCTCAGGGCAAAGTTAGAAGAATTCATGCCCCATGGAAAAGGAGATGAAAAAGGACAGGKGCCCTTCAAGAGAGCTGAGTGCTAAAGAGACAGGCATGACCTCAGCTGTTCTCTCCACCCCTAAAAAATACAGGGTAACAGATTCTTTCCAGATACTTTGTGAAGGGCAGCTGAGAGGCATTGCAGACCCCCTGCAGCTCTTTCAAGGAACCACCCTGTGGACATGCAGTATTTCTGCATCACATGTCCCAAGATCYCTGTCTTTCTGCAGAGATACAATACAATAATTGACAAAAGAGCCCACCTGTAAAAAATTGTAGCCAGGGCTTTAGCTGCTGCCAAGGGATCTTTCTTTTGCAGAGGAACAGCTTCAATCCACTTGGTGAAGTAGTCAGTCACAGTGAGGACATGTGTGTTGCTCTGGCTTGTCTCAGGAAAAGGCCCTGCAAAACAATTATCAAGAAAAATCTATAGAACTCTGTAATATCGCCCAAATGAGGAAAGTTATAAGCCAGGCCAGCAAAATGATCACTGTGAAAAGGTAAAACAACTGTAATCCTGCTCYGCACTCATTTGGCCGGTACACTTCTGTGGCATTTGTCAGCAAAAATACACACATCACAGTCCCAGTCTGGGCAGTGACGCACACCCACGACTCCCACTGTGTGCCGAGAGGACACAGAGCCAGCCGTGGGGATCAGGCTGCTCCTCAGCAGGCTGCCAAGGGCCCCTCGGCGCCTCCTTGTCCCAGACGTGGGCAGCTTTTGCTCCCAGGCTGCTGCACGTCTGCCGCGCGCCGAGGGCGGCCGCGACGCTCACCGTGAATGTCTAATCCCAGCACTTCCCAGGGGGCTTCCACTCTGACGGGCTTTGCTTTCCGCGCTACGTTCTTGTTGTGCTCTGCATTTTGGCACGTTTCACACGTTTTGATCTGGGAGTTTAAAAAAACAAAAAGACACATTAGAAGACTTTAAAATATGCTGACAAATTCTGTTAGATTCAGCCTGGACGGGAGTACATCAGAGCCCCTTCCCTGCACCCAGTAAGGACAGAAGGAAATGAGAAAAATGGGACAGAACACAACAGACTGACACAGCTCACCTCTGCCAAAACTCACCTGACAGCTTGCTCTGACACAATAACCTTTTTGTTTTTTTTTTTTTTAATCTGGCCTACGGCTAAGACATTGCACATCCTGCTTTTCGGTAAACATTTGGTGTACTTTAACACTCAGCCTGTGAGCTAATTAGAGTGAGGGAACTCTGGGAAAGGCTAAATTACCTAAAGGAAAGAGAACAAGCCACAGGAGGGGAAACATCAAGAAAGAGATTTAGAGGTTAAAAAGCAGACATTACTAGACCTCAGAGGCTAAATTYGGAACTTACTGAACTTAATAACTTTAACACAGAAAGCACAAAGGTGACATGTATTGCTGACAAAAAAAATGGGAAGTGTGATCACACAAGGCAGGTAAGAGCGCGACAAAGATCATTTTTTTATGAAAAAAAGGACAAAAAAGTGACACATTTGAGGAACAAACAACACACTGCTGCTACCAGYTAGAAACTCAACCCTGTGACACTGCAAGGCTCGGACCATGCAAGTAACCACTGGCAGTACAGCAGATGAAGCAGAAGCAGCCAGAGATGATGGAAACCYCGAGCTCCTCCTCCCGTGCAGCCATCCAGCAAAGTGAGAAGCTCTGGCAGGAATCCAGCGTGTCCAAAGCTAGACCCAGTTAGGCTTGGCTGGAAAAGCCCAGGYTCCCCAGCTGGCCAAGCCTGCCCTGCCCGAGCAGACCTACCTGTGCAGGATTCCTGACGCTCACGAGAAAGTCACTGCGCTTCTCCCGCTGCCTCGGGCCACTCCAGCAGTTTCACCTGCAGTTACCCAGCGCGTGGCTTCCAAGCAAGAGGAACTAGAGGCCACGTCCTCCCTGCACGAGGGCTCCTCTAGCTGCTCATGTGGGAATCCTGCCTGCACATCCCRGGAAAGGCCTCTCTGCCGGACGCTGCCACTGCTCTAGACTTACCCAGTCCACGACATCCTTCACGATGCCCAGCCAGTAGTAGCGGCTCTGAATCCGGTGCACGGTCTTCTTCTGGCCCAGGTGGTTCCCGATCTCGGTGAAGTGGCTCTCCAGGAAGACCTGCCGCCTCCGCTCGGGGTCCACGATCACCTCCCGCTTCTCCTCCTTCTTGGGCCCCACGTAGTAGAGGCAGCCGCCTGTGACAGGCATGGGACCCACGTCACCCCGGGAATTCCGGCTACCCGGGGGGACGTTTTCCATAGCAGGAAAAATGCGCAGGGGACAACACGAAGGGGGGCACCTCTGGAGAAGCAGCTACACGGGATCAACCCCAAATAAACCCAGCGGCCTCTTCCCTGCGCCTGGGGACAACCGGAGCCCTCCGGTTCCATAAGGTCCCCCCTAAGGCCCCGCCACCCGCCGCGGCAGGGGGTCGCGCGTGTGTCCCCGTCCCCTCCCGCCCGCGTCCCCACCGTCCACGACGAATTTCTGGGCGTAGCGCTTGAGGTTCTTCCTCTTGATGGAGCAGAAGCTGGGCGGGAAGCAGCCCTCGGCCAGCAGCCGGTAGATGTCCTCGAACTTGCTGCTGGGGACGCCCGGCTCGGCCGCCACCACCTCCTCCTCGGCCACCTGCAGCGCCGAGTCCATGGCCGGGACCGGGACCAGGACTAAAACCGGGGCCGGGACCGGAACCACAGCCGAGACCGGCACCGCAGCCGGGGCTGGGACCGGGGCGGGGACCAGGACCGGGACCGGGACCGGGACCGGCCGCGTCCCGCCGCGCGCGCCCCCGCGCAACAGCCGCTCGGCGGCGCGCGCGCCCGCGGCCCGGGCGGGGCGTCGCTCGGGGAGCGTCTGCAAAGCGGCCGTGGCCGCCGCCGCCGCGCGCAGGCCCCGCCGCTCCCTCACGACCGCGGCGCCTCCCTGGTGCCGCCTTGCCAGTTCAACCAGCCTCCAGCCAGGAGAAACGCGCAAAAATGGGAGAGAAGGGACACRTTTCCCGCCCCGCTCCCTTCGTTTTCTCGCCCGCTGAGGAATTTRCCGACGGTCCCTCGCTGGCGCCGCCACGCCCGGAAGCGACGCGCGGCCGCCTGGGGGAGCCGTTTCGCGGSCGGACCGGCCCCCGCCGGGAACCATGTCCGCGGCGCGGCCGTTCCTGTCGTGCGCCTGCTTCTTCTCGGAGAACGTGTTCGTGGGGCGCTACGGGCTGCACGTGCGGTACCGCGACGAGCGGCAGCTGCGCCGCGACCACGGGCGGGTACCGGCAGCGGCGGGGCGGGGAGGGGGCCGCGCCGCGCCGGGACCCGCGCTGAGCGGCGCTCCGCTTGCAGGCGCTGCGGGAGCGGGGCTGCCGGAGCCCGCGGGACTTCGCGGAGCTGCTGCGGGAGGTAACGAGCGGCGGCGGCGGCGGCGGCGGCGGGGAGGGCGGGGGGAGCGGCGGCGGCAGCGGCCCCCCTCCCCGCGCGCCATTTTACCTCAGCGCCCCCCGCGCTGCGCGACACAAACCCCGCGGGATCAGGGCCGCATCCCGGCCCCTTCCCTCTTCCTTTTCCCCCAGGGAATACGGCGCCAAACCCCACGGGGGGTTTATGAACGGCAGGAGGCTCTGAGGTGACGCGCGGGCCTGTCCCCTCCGCGCGCGGTGCCAGCCCTGCCCGAGGAGCGGTGGCCGCCTCGCGAGGGGCCATGGCCGCGGGGCAGCGGCCAGACCCTCGCAGCACGGGCACAAACGCACAAAACGGCCCCGAACGTCGAACCCCCCGTCCCGGGAAATCCCTCAGAGCCCTTTCCCGAGATAACCCTGCTGGGAAGGTGTCTTGAGGCCCTCTTGGGCACTCCACTTTGCAGAGCTTTTATACATGCCTCGACTGCAGAAAAGCAAAGGCACCCAGGCTCTGTCCTCTGGAGGTGCCTTGAACAATAAAAACAAACAAAAAAAAAATGGCATAAATCACTGAGCAAATTCCTAGAATCGTTCTAGATGCCACCAGTCTTCGCTCGTCTAACAAGATGTCCTGTTGTTTATTCCAGATTGAGGCAGAAGTGCAGAGAAGAAAACAGTTAATTCATCAGTCAGTGGAACGGAAAGCCATCATTTCGCAGCGTTACAAACCCAAGCACCCACACGTGTACATTCTGCAGGTAGACAGTATYCGAGGGCTCTCTTTTGCACCCAGGAAATTGCTAGGAAGTTTGTTCTGTTAATAGGAAGCCCTCTGCTCCTCACATCCTTCAAAATTCTGCAGCTGGACTGATTTAAAAGCAAAACAACTATCACAGCTTAGCATATTCTCCAGGCGGGTTTCAGCTTGCTGTCACATGAAGAACAGCCATCAGCCTTGGTCCCTAGGCTGCCCCTAGTTTCCCATGACTGTCTGGAATCCTGTTTCCTTAGTGGGTTTTAAAAGCCTGCATGAGTTAATTGTGTTTCTATGTATTTTTATCATCCTCGATGCAAGGATTCATTCCTGGCCCCAGAGTTTCTAGAAATTGTGAGATACTGCACATCACCAGATGCTCATCTYGATGGCCTCCTACGCTACACAGAGTCCTACCCAGGTAAAGGAAGCAACCCATCAGCAGCAGAGAACTCCCAGTGTGACACATACTTCAGTGGTGACAGCTGTTTTCAACCCCTGACCTCAATATCTGCGCTCTGACACACAACCAAAACGAGCAGGATGTTATTTGCTGCCTGACGAGAGTCTCTGCAGAGACAGTAGTGTGTGTGCAGCAGCTGCACTCTGGATGAGATCTTTTTTTCTGCTCTTCCAGTTGCAGTCTGTTGATGTCTCACCAGAGACACCTACCTGAGCTCACAAGGGAGGCAACTGGAGGAATTTCATTATCTTGGAAATATGGTTTTCCCTAAGTGCATTACTGTTTCAGACAGTCCCCTTTGGTTAGTCAGAGCTGGGTATTTTCACTCTGCATTCCAGTCTTTTTTATTTTTCCATTTTCCTGCTAGCATCCATGAAGCTCTTTCCCTATAAGACCCACTATAAATGTGGAGTGGAGGGGAAGTCGCCTCCTTTTCTCAAGGCAACAAGGTGCACGTTTTCAGGACTCCTGGTGGTTATTTGCCCAAGGAACAGTTGCCAGGCACACAGTGTTTTCATGCTGCTGTAACCTGCATACTCAGCACTCTCTCCTCCCCATACAGACCTTTGGGGCCCCACCCTAAAAGGCCACACACAAAACACAGTCCTCAAAGTTGTCACTGGGCAAGTGAATCCCATCCCCTCAAAGACCTTGACTCCCGTCCGTGCACAAGGCAGCCTGGGATGAACTGTTGATGCAGCCTCCCCCGCTCCAGAGCTTGTGGACCCTCTTGAGGTGTTTCCTTGGCACCTACTGCAGGTATTTAAATCAGTGCCAGGTTTTCCAGCTGGCTGAGAAAACCAGGAAGCAAAGGGCCTGTATAGACAGCATATATATCCCAGAAATGGTGCCTGCCCACAAAGTGAAGCACGGGGGTGCTGCATTCTCACTGATGTCGCCATCTACCTAGTCTCTGTGACAGGCAGGTGCTTTTCTCCCCGTTGTTCTCCCCACCAAACAGCATCTCCCTTCTCCCGACAGAGAAGCGGATCTGCCGGCTCCCGGTGTTCACGGAGGAATTCTGCCAAGCCTTCGTCGACGAGCTGGAGAACTTTGAGCAGTCGGACATGCCTAAAGGCAGGCCCAACAGCATGAATAACTACGGGGTAGGGCTCCCTGGCTCTTGGTTCTTCTTTAGGGGGGAGAGTTGCTGAGCAGATGCTGTTTAGCTCTTTGTTTCACATGCCTTTCCTTTCCAAAAKGGGCATTATTTGATCACTTGAGTATAGAGTCCTGCTGAGGGAAAGGGCTGAGGGAATGTCTATTACTCAGAGACAAAAGGACACGGCAAACCAGAGGAAGGAGATGGGGAGTGATGACCCTGTATTTAAGCAATACCATTTTAAATCAAGGACTCTATTTTTACTCAACTTCTGATCTTTCTCGCTATTCACCATCATTTTCCACCTTTACCCTCATTCCTTTGTGTGCAGCTGGAGCCTTTGCTCTTCAGGTATTTTTGTCTGAGCAAGTAGCAGGACTGAAGAATAAAACACAGCTCTGCAGCAGCTCTGACCTAGTTGCTGGTCATATGTTCCCACCTCCTCTCTCTTTGGGACAGGTTTTGCTCAATGAACTTGGGATGGACGAAACTTTCATCACACCCCTGCGTGAAAAATACCTGCGTCCCATCACGGCCCTGCTTTACCCCGACCTGGGGGGTGCCTGTCTGGACAGCCACAAGGCATTTGTGGTCAAGTACTCCCTACACGAAGATCTGGATTTGAGCTCTCATTATGACAATGCAGAAGTCACCTTAAACGTCTCGCTGGGAAAAGAATTCACCGAAGGCAACTTGTACTTTGGGGAGTTTCGCCAGGTACTGAACATCTTCCTAATTTGCACCCTGATCCYATTCCCTGACACGCTCCCCTACTTTAGACCTGTAACTGCCTCAGGAAGCAGAAAACAGCTGTGTTCGGAGGAGTGTTATTCATTAGAACTCTTAGAATTAGGTCAGTTACGATTTTTTTCCTTCAATGTGGTTTAGATTTCAGTCTATGAATATGGAATGAATACAGAGCTGCCAATAGGAAGTTAGTCAACTTCTAGTTAATCTAAAAAAAAACATCAACAAAGTCACTTCTGACAGTCCAGCCGCTCTCCTCCCTGCCCCTTTTTGAATGCAGAGATTCTACAAGAGCCTTTTCTCCTGCAGCAAAATCTCCATAGTTAACCTAATTGCAGCCAATTCGAAGAGGTGCTATAGACAACTGTCACAGCAGAAACTGGAATGAAAGAAAACAACCTGTTTTTCCATAGATAAAATAACGAGCAGGGAGGCAGAGAGAGGAAGAGAAGGCATTTAAATCTGTGGCCTCTCTTCCTAGGAGAATCCAGACAAGAGAGGGTAATAACACCAATAAACCAGTAAACCAGCTTAAATTCCCTTCGGACCCAGTCCTGGCTGTACTCTTAGTATGTGCAGTTGTACTGAACTGCAAAGTCCCTGCAGAGGCAGCTGTATTTCAGAGCTGCAGAGTCCTCTCCATTTCATTTGCTGAGTGCTGTGGGCGAGAAGGTGGCAGCGGTTTGAGCGCTGCCCTGCTAACGAGCTGCTGGTGTAAGGCTGTTCTCCCCCCTTCCCAGGACCCCAACCCTGTGCCAAGGTACCTTGAGATCGAACACGTGAGGACCCAGGGGCTGCTCCACCGAGGAGGGCACATCCACGGGGCGCTTCCCATCGCCTCCGGCGAACGCTGGAACCTCATCGTTTGGATGAGGTCGTCTGCCATCCGCAACCAGCTCTGCCCCATGTGCAACAAGAAACCCGAGCTGGTGGAAGCAGAGGGCTTTGGAGATGGGTTCACAGGGACCCTCGAAGACGCTGCACCCGAGACTGTGAATCTCTGCTCGTTGTGGTAATCTCTGCTCGTTGTGGACACGGTTTCTGCAGGCTGAGACGTTGTTTCGAGCCTCTCAGGGCACATGAGTGGCCTCTGGGACACATCAGTCCTGCAGCAAGTAGCTGCACCTGGGAGACCACCACACAYCCCATCCTGCTGGGCTCGGGAAGCTGCTGCGCGGCCACCAAAGCGCTGGTGCTTGGGCCAGCCTGGGCTCACCCCCAGCCTTAGGCCCTGGGGAACGTCTGGGAGATGTAAAAAGCCTTAAGACTTTGATTCACTGTGTCAATAGGTCAGTATTTTGGGTACACAGAAAAAAMCAAAGCTGCTTGGCCCTTGTGAAGRCCGACAGCAGCATTTTGGATTCCTCTGTAAACGGAAGAGAGTCCTCCAATRAATCCTACAATTCCCGCTCCTCTCCCACTTGCAGGGCCCTGTGAGCCCCAGGGGGGAGGGAAGAGCCCTGTGCAGCAGTGAGGTTGAGCTTGGCCTAGTCCGGGCTCAGGAGCCCCTGCCAAGAGCAGCACAGGGAGGGCCGAGCCCCCAGGGCTCCTGAGCCCTTAAGTCCCTGAACGAGAGACATCACCCCAAGCCTCCTTTCGCCTGGCACCCGTGCACAGCRGAGGCCACGGGCAGCTCTGCAGGCCAAGACCCAAATCTCCCCTTTTCTCACTTAAAAACGGAGCCAGGAGGAAGCGCGGGGAGCGCCGGAACCAAAGTGCGGCGCCGCTGTTGCCGCCCGGCGGCCGGAAGTGGGAGGCGGGGCGGAAGCAGCGGCGGAGCCCGCGGCGCTCCCGGGGCCGGTGAGTCCGTTACCTGCGGCCGCTCCGGCGGGGGCCGGGCGCGCATGCGCCTCGGGGCAGGCCGGGCGGGGCCGGAGCTCTTAAAGGGGCCGCTGACCCCTTCTTAAAGGGCCAGCGGGCTCTTGAGCGGTTCTTAAAGGGCCCGCACACGCCGCGCCRAGGTGGCCGCCAGCTCCGGCCAGGCCGGGAGCGAGACCCGCGGCTGTCTCGGCGCCCTCGCGCTCCGTCCCGGTCGCCTCCCGGCGCCGCTCATGTTTCCCGTGTTGTCTCCGCAGGTCACCCTGCGGCGCCATGGGGCCCGGGCGGGCCCGGCGGCGGGCGCGGAGCGGGAGCCGCTCCCGGAGGCGGCGGGGCGGGAAGGAGCCGGGCAGCAGCAGCAGCAGCAGCAGCGGCGGCGGCGGCGGCGCCTCCGGGACGCGGCGCTCCGGGTCCCGCTCCAGGTCCCGCTCCGGGTCCCGCCGGCGCCGGCCCAGCGCGGCCCGGCAAGGTGGGAACCTCCCGCGGGACCCCGGGGAGAAGGAGGGTCAGGGCCGCCCCGGCACCGGCGGGCTGAGTTGAGGGCGCCCAGGGGCTTCGTTCCCGATAAAAGGTTGGGAGAGCRGGAAAGGCGGAGCGCGGCCGGCATTGCCGTCCTCCGGCTCGTGTGCTGCAGGGAGCAGGAAGGATGGAAAGGCCCAAAGGAAGAGGAAGGCCAGCGCGTCGTCCTCGGGGTCGGCCTCCTCTTCCTCCTCCGGCTCGTCCTCGACGTCCTCCAGCTCCTCCTCCGATGACTCCAGCGACAGCGATGCCAAGGCCAAGAAGAGGYGGCGCGGCAAGAAGAAGCAGAAGGATAAAAAGAAAAAGAAGAAGAAAAGGCTGAAAAAGAGGCCGAAGAAGCAGCGCGAGGAGCGGCGCGGGGAGGAGCGGCCCGCGGCGGCGGCGCCGGCGGGGCCCTCGCTGGAGCAGTGGCACAAGGAGGCGCTGGGYGACGCGGCGCCAGGTGAACCTGCCCTGCCCTCCCGCTGAAAAGCGCCACCGCGTCGCCTCGCAGGGTGCCGTGAGGTTTGTGGGGGCGGCAGAGCTGCSGACGGGGGAGCCCTGACTCCCCTCCCGCCCGCGGCCCTCGGCCCCGTGCAGGTCACACTGGCAGAGTGAAACGTGCTGCGCTCTGGTCCGTGAACCGGAGCAAGGAGGCGCCCCGGCAGCGCGGGGTTGGCAGTGGCTGCGCCCCGGGGCCGGCGCCGCGAGCTCCGTTCTCACCGACGGCCTCGCTCCAGTTTTGACAGACGAGCAGAAATCCCGGATCCAGGCCATGAAGCCCATGACGAAGGAAGAGTGGGACGCGAGGCAGAGCRTTATACGGAGGGTCGTGGATCCGGAAACGGGCAGAACCAGGTACGGGCCCCTGGGGAGTGACCAGCGCCTGCTCGGAGGCAGTTTGTCCGTCCCCATCGGATGGGGGAATCCCATAGGATGTGGGTCAGCAYCCACCAGGCCCCCCCAAAGTCCAGAGGTGGCATAGACGACCCCCTTGGCTCTGCTAGGAGCAGCCTCATTAGAAGACTAACAGGAAGGCCTAAGGTGCTAATTAAGCTTCATTTGGCCAAAGAATTAAGCAGCCAGTGCAGCTCCAGGGCACGGGCAGTCGGGAGCTGGCAGGGAGTCACCTCGGCGTGTCAGCCCGGGGAGCTGCTGATGCAGCCGCAGCGGCGCCGCAGCGGCTCGGGATGGGGCGGTTGGTTGGATTTTGGTTTCCAGCCCCGTTTTGGCACCAGGCCTGGGCTGKGGCAGCAGCCGGGAGGAGCTGGGGAAACCGCAGCCGGTGCCAACCCTCAGGGCCCCACGTGCCTCTTCCAGACTCATTAAGGGAGACGGAGAAGTGCTGGAAGAAATCGTCAGCAAGGAGCGGCACAAGGAGATCAACAAGGTGAGCCGGGCACGGGGGCCGAACCCTGGGGACCCCGTCCTGCCTCTGGGGGGATCCGGGCGGCTCTGCCGGGGCAGCCGGGGCAGCAGCGAGCGCCGCTCGTGTCCCTTTGCAGCAGGCCACCCGCGGGGACGGGCTGGCCTTCCAGGCGCGCGCCGGGATGCTGCGGTGACGGCGCCGGCCCCATCCCGCCCACGGGGGACCTGCTGCCGCCGCCACGCCGGGCGCACGCGGGACAGACACCGTCCTGCCCGTGGGCAGCCTCCGTCCGCTCCGTAAGTTATCAACGGGGAGGAGAGATGGAGCAGCTCCTCTCCCTCCACACTCAGCCTCCGGTGCCCGTCCTATGGATGAAACACGGAGCTGGCTGCTGTGCCCGCCCTCCTGGGCCCCTGGCCCCATGGATCTGCCCTCCGCACGGGCCCTGCGCCCCTTCTGGCCCCCTCTCTGCGGCCGTGCGGCAAATGACTGTCACTTCCTCCCCACTGGAGAATGGAAAGCCTAGAGAACGTTATAAAAAAGGAGGCAAGGTGGTGGTTGTCCTGCAGGACCGACCTGCACGGAGYATCTCCCGGGTCTGTTCGTTGCTTTGACTCCATTAAATGGTCTCCTGCTCGCGCCCGGCGTCCTGTGACTTTGTGGCGTCTCCAAATAAGCAGACAGAGAGCAGCCTTCCCAAGCCTTTAATCGGGGGCGGGCACACGCACAGCGACACGGACACAAAGCACACGCAGGCGCGGGGACGATGCTCTAACCGCGAGGAGGAGGAGGAGCAGCAGGAGGAAGGTCCGTCACACACGAGCGCGGCGGCTGCACGGTGCAGGACGCGCYGGCCCGCAGCTCCTTCCACCCCTCAGGGACCCCAGGAGCATTTTTTGTATATAAATAAATGATAACTAACATCGTAGAATATAAAACTGACAGTCAAGGATCTCCAGAGGGTGCCGAGGGCAGGACGGGACCGTAAGGCTTCGAGCACGACGAGGGGCTGCGGCGGCCGGCGGCGCTACCTGAAGGGGCTGCGGCCCCGCGCCCGGGGGACACTGTAAACATGTTTGGTGTCTGAATTTTGCCTCCTCTGACGGAGCCAGGAAAACCAGGAAAATCGTGATGCGGATGTGCAGGGGCTGTTTTGTTCTGGAAAAGGCTTTAAAGGGACAGTGTCAGGTAAGAATTCTGGCCTGTTCTTTCAATTAAAAAAAGCAGCTTTATATACTTAAAAAAAAAAATCTGAGTTCTGTAAGGGAGTTTGATTCCCATGGAAATAATTGGAGAAAAAATAATTTAAAAACCACCACAACGCCCAAACCAGCGCCGCCGGCGGCCGCCCTGGCGGCTACCCACACACCAGCCACAGGGAGGGGTATGAGAAACTTTTAATAGTCTTTCAGCTCAGAGCAAACGAGTTACTGGTAACAAAGATCAATTAGGGCTTTAACCTGACAGTGCCCCCTCGGCAGGGACGGGCGGCCGCTGCCCTGGCCGCGCGCCGCAGCAAACAGGGCAGGAACACACGGAGTTCGACTATTGCTATTGTTCGTCCAGTGCGGAGTGGGTTGATCTTTGCTTCGGAGAGATGAGTGCTGGGCGGCTGAGGAGAGACGGATGGAGCCTGGGATGGACCAAAGAGGTGGAGAAACCCCCCGGGGGGGKTTTCCTGCTGACCACGTCACTGGTATTATTGCAGCGATAAAGGTCCTGCTCTACAGTTGCTTCTCCGTGTTGGATTGTACCACGGCATCAGACGGGAGCGCCAAGAAGACGCCGGGGGGAGCTTCAGGGAGCTCGAGAGGATGAAGATGGAGGTGCTGTGATTGTCAGGCTGACTGGGTAGTATCTGCTGAAACACGGGGCGATGGAGAGGTGAGAGTAATATTGCACTTCTGCATTCAGTGACAGTTACCTTAAACTTGGTCCATAAAATAATTGCTTTGTACATAATGCCTGAAACAAAAAAAAAGCTACATTTTTAAATATTAATAAACCCTGAAGGTTCCAGTCCCTCCAGACATTTTTTTCCCTCTACATAAATAAATAACTTTCAATTTATATATCCACTTTATGTTGAACATTTACATTCGCCTCTGTTTTGTTTTACACTATCTACACATAAGAAAAYGTGAACAGCCGTGTACAGGTCACAGCTCGCTTGTGGACTCTTCTTTCAGAGGAAAGTTGAATTTTGCAAAGGCCGTATCCAAATCTGCAGAAATTACTTAGTGACCTGGTTGGGTGACGTTGTGGGATGGATTGTGGCTTGGCTTCCTACTCGGATGGCAAGTGCTCAATAGAGCCTTCGACTAGTAGAAAGCTGGGACAATTCCCATCGGTTTCGAACCCAGAAAGCTCTGGCTGTACATTCAAGGAGAGCTAAGCTGAGCTGGCAGAAAGGGAAGTCGGTTTTCAGTAAGGAAACTCCTCGGCTCTGTTCTGGAATGGGCTGATGATCAGGGCGGCCAAGTCGCCGTGGGGCGGCTGGCGCTGGGAGAGGCCGCGCGGAGCCTGGAGCGYGGAGCCTGGAGCGCGGCGCGGAGCCTGGAGCGCGGMGCGGCCTTCACAGTGCTGCGAGTCTCGGTGCGGCCGCCCTGCGCTCCCCAGCCCAGCGGGTAGCAAAACGAAGCAGCCGGTCTAAAAAAATCTTCGTTATAAATAAGACCCTCCTAAGTAGAAAGTGATATAAAGACARGATCCCGTGCTGGAGGAAAGCACTAAGTCGGGCAGCTCGGAAGGACTAGAAAATCTTCACGGACAGAGGCTGAGCGGAGTCTGCGACATCCGCGGACTTCCAGGGTGGAGGGTCCCAAGCCCTGGAAGCCACGTGTGGGACGGGCCCAGCACCGGGATCCGGGCGCTCTCCRGCAAACACCGGCTCTCGGCTCCCGTTCCCGCCCCGCGCCGGCCCTGACCGGCGGCTCGGAGCAGCCCCTGCCAACACGCCAGGAAAATTAAGATATGGCCTTTTCTTAAGCTTACCCGAGTGCTGGCTCGCTTCCTTACAGTCTCCTTACTGCTGGAAAAACTTCTGCACAGAAAATTTATATATATATATATATATATATGTGTATATATATACTACATATATATGTGTGTGTGTGTATATATGTATACATATACACACTCTGGCTTAGCAATATTTCATTGTCATGCACTACAAAGGTAGGTGTAGCTACATGAGATGGTAACAGGTTTCCATTCTAAAAATCATCAGTGCAAAAAACAATGAGGTTTTACAGTTCAGTAACTACTACCGGTAAAAGAAGCGAGTCTAATTCCCATGAAAGCTGCTACTGAACTCGGAGATAACCTGGGAAGAAGGAAATGTTTCGGAGGTGGGTGTCAAAAGAGCCAGACCCTGCATCTGGATGAGAACCGTAATGCAATCCAGCCGCTGAGTGTCTTCATCTGCTTGCAAATGTATGGTGGTTACTTTGGGAAATAATATATAGCAATACGATTTGAAGACTTTTAACAGACAGTAAATGAAGTGTCTGAGGTTTGTTACAGCTCCACCAAAACAGCTCGTATTCTTCCTTTAATAGGTCAATGCATTAAATTCCATCAGCTTTGAAAGTGTCTCTTTATAAAAATAACAGTAACAACAATAACGACCCCACTTCCTTGGACGTGAATCTGCTGAGATCCTGCCCCTACCAACCGCGCCGCCGTCTCCCCGTGCTCTGCGCTGCACTTACTCCTGCAGAAAGGGGCTCAACTCGAAGCTCTCAGCGCAGGCCAAGCTCCCGGTGCTCCGCGTGGCRCCGCCCGCGACAGCCCCGTGCTCCGTGCGGGAACGCCGGGCTCCTCAGCCCGACGCGGGGATGGCCAAGAACAAGATCCCCCAGGCTCAGCCCGCTGCTGCGGCGCCGGGGCCGGCGCCCGGTCCCGCGGGACGGAGCGATGGCTAACAAGGCGAGGAGGCACCGGTATTTACAGTCGCTAAACCTGGATAAGAGGAGGAGGCAGGAGAGCGCGGGACCTCAACCGGGAGACTTGTCCCCCGCCTCGTTTCCAGCTGTTCCTGGGGCTCCTGCCGCACGCTCGCGCCGCTCCCGCTGCCAGGCCTGCACGTTCCGCGTGGGAAACACCCCGTCTCCTCCTGCAACACCACGATGTTATTAGAGTAGCACCATATTTACCCTTCCAGCGCGTAACGCCGGCCTCGTCCCTCTTCCCTTTTTTTTTGTTTTCTCCTCCGGTGGCTGCAGCCAACAGTCGCTGCCTCTGGCCTGGCTATTTCTGCCCCAGGAGGCCAGAGTCCAGGCGGGACGCCGCGCTCCGGCCCCAGCACCCCGTGGCGATGCTCATGCTCCTTTGGCTGCGCTCCCTGTCCCGCTCCTTGTCGCCGTCCGACTGGCTCTGCGTGCGCTCGGGCCGGTGGCCGGCGCCGGGCGGCTGCGACGAGATGGTCCTCAGCAGGTGGTTCCTCTTGCGCAGGAACTCGGCCTGGCTGGGCAGCCCGAAGCTGCCCTTGCGCAGCGCCATGCGCGTGGTGTTCTTGGCGGGCCGCGCGCGGTGGTTGTACTCCAGCTGCGCCAGGTGGGCCGCGTAGCCCTCCGTGATGAACTGCAAGACACGGGCGCCCGTCAGAGCGGCCCCGGCTCGCGGGACGGTGCCCATCGTCTCTGCAAACTGCCACTGCCCTCCCCAGCCCAGGCTTTCCTGCCTCCTACCTGGCACTGGCTCTGCAGCTTCTTGGTGGGGCGGCCGACGATGTAGATGTGCGTGGGAGGGAGGCTGATGGAGCTGTACACGGAGATGTCCTTAGTGGAGCCGTACGCCGCGTGGATCTTCATGTGGAGCTGCGGGGAGGGAAGGCAACCCGCTGTCAGGACATATGGCGCTCCGTGCTGCTCAGCGCACCGGCTTTTTCCCCCCCCTTTTTCTTTTTTTCCCCTCTTCTTTTTCCTTCCCTGTCTTATTACAGCACTTGCAGGAATCTCAGGGCAGTAAGTTATGTAAGATTCCAGCTGGATAAGGCACCGCTGAGCAAAGTGCTAATTAACAGCGCCGAGGACAGTGGCAGGACAAGCGGCAGCGACACGAACGCAGCCCTCTGCTCGCCGAGCAGAACCGGCCTTGGGGCGTCTGCGGGACGGGGACGGCGGGAGAGGAGGGTCTGCAGCCCCCTGGACCACAGGCATGAGCCTGGCCGCTTCCYGGCCACGCTGCAGCCTGAAGGAAAGGGTAAAATAAGTGGGGGCTCCATGGAGTCTCCCCTTGACAGCCCCCTGCCCTCCCTATGGCATCTGGGACTTGCTGGTTACACCACGGGCAGCCCTAAATCTGGCTTTTAACCCAAATCGGTTAAAAAGCGCCTGCGTGGGGACGGAGAGGCACTGCCCCCTCCATTTCATTAGGCATTCTGTGCTGGAAGGATGAAATGGGACAGTGCAGGGACAGCACAGAGAGGAGGTGACACAATTTAAGAGCGCTGACACTTCTACAGAGCACTAAAAGAAATGGAAATGAAATGAACGGGGATTAATCCCGCGCTGCGGGTYGCTGGCTGCCGAGGGCGGTGCTGACAGGGGCAACGGGAGCAGCGGGGAGCGGGACGTGGGCTGCCTTCCCGGACGGCCAGGCTTACGTCCGTGATGAGGGATTTGAGGAAGTTGGCCTTGTGCCGCAGCGGGTCGTGCACCAGCCCGTCGCAGAAGGAGACGATCCCGTGCGGGAAGTTGTGCTGTGCTAACCACGCCACCACCCTCTGCTTCTGCATGTCGGGGCGGCCCGTGACGTAGATGATGAGGTAGCCGAGGTCTTGCCAGTGCCTGGAAGCAAAGGCACAACCTGCTGCGTCGCAGCCCCGCGGCAAGGCCGGGGTCACCGCGAGCCGGCCGCCCCAGCCCCTGACCTTACGACGTCGACCGCTCCGGCGCGGACCTTGGGGTCGCTGCCCATGATGGACACGCTGGCTGCAAAGGAGCCGTCGATGCTGAACACCACGAACTCCGTCCCCTTCGGCAGCACCGTGATGTAGCTGTCGGCGTACGTGTGGTCACCCCTGAAAGGGACACGGGTATTTGAAGGCTTCAGGAGGTGGAGGCTCCTCTGGAAGGTATTGCAAGCCCAGGGGAGGATCCCAAATCCAGYTTGAAGACTCTACTGGTTACGCCACCCTTATCTACAGCAGTGGTGGGTGCTGCAGAAACACTTGTGAGCTAAAGCAGGGCTGGGAACAGCACTGTGCAGTCCTGGCTTTAGTGCATTTCCACATTTCAAAACACAGCCTCAGGAAGATGCTGTTGGTTTTGCCACTGAAAAGAGGCACCCTTCCTCCTCATCACAGARCTGAATACCAGCAATCAGGGCTGAGCTGAGCCTTGGGCTGTGACTTACTGTTAAAACAAAGTTCTGTCCCTCAAGGACAAGTTTGTGGTCTTTAAAATATGCCTAGTTGTGCAGTATTTGCAAATGATGGCAGGGCCACATGCCTGGAGCGCAGACAGCCTGCCCTGCGGTGGGAAATCAATGACCATGCTGCTGGTGAGAGTCAAATGCAGCTGCTCCTCTTCCAGCTGTGGAGTAAACAGGACTGTGTCCTGCTGCTGGCAAATCAGACTCTAAATGCACCTGAGAGTCTGCGCTCCCACGTAAGGAGGGACCATATTCCACAGAAACAAGTTCCTCTTTCCTTCACCAGCAACAGATGTGTGGTTTTCTATCATGCAGCCATAGACTTCAAGCACTTTGTGCCCTCCTGCAGACGCCACCGCGCAGACAACCTCACCTGACCACCATCTTCACAGGGTACACGCCAATGCCCAAACGCCGGCTCTCCGGGATGACGTAGGAGATCCTGCCGCTGCTGTTGCTGATCTCRGTGTCAAAGTAAACCCACTCTCCGGACGGCGGCTGGGTCATGATGTGAATGTCCACCTGGGAAGGCAGCGAGGCTGAGTCAACAACAGCATCCAGGGCGACACAACAGGCCAAGTGTTGGGATCTTCCCCCCGCAAGTTCCTTGGCCCAACTAGGTCCTACTTCTACCTGCACTTTGCAGAGCTAAGCTGAGAAGTGCCCCAACATCCCACTGTGGGGATGAAACTTGGTGAAATCAGCTCTGAAAACCTTCCTGGTCACAGCTGGTCCTGTGCAGGCACCAGTGTGTGCAAGCAGAGCAGCCTGGCAAGGACCGAGGGTGCCAGACCCAGGCAGGGRCCATCTCCTCCCACCACTGCTGCCCCCAGGACAGTTTTCCCAGGATGGTGCCTATCCCCCACGGTACCTTTTCCCCCGTGAGCGTGACCATGTCTAATGGACCATACATAAACCTCCCAGTTAAGGTCTGGGGCCCGTCTTCATTAGCGATGGTGTCGTTTATCCTGTGGTTGGCCGTGACGTTCTGCACARATCAAAGGAAAAGGAAAAGTTAAGAACAAACGAGTGAGTGCCCTGAGTGTGCAGCAATGGGCACCTCCCAGGGCAACGCCAACACGAGCAGACAAATGAATGTGGGTTCCTCCAGGCCTCGGCGTCCCTCTGCACCCCACAGCTTCAGACACGAAAGAAGTTTTGCCCCATAACAGCAGTGAGTACTTGTGCCCCACAGAAACAGGGGATTTGAGCATACCTACCCCAGGAGGCAACTTAAGCAGGGGTGAGTAATTCTGGTCCTACCACTGACATATGTTGGATTTAGGAGGCAACACGAACAGTTTCCAGCAGAAATCTCCTAATGCTGCTTTAGTTCTAGCAGAGAACTGCCCCTTTGGGAATCAGAGACATTTCCTGAGAGCAAAGGGCCTTATGGACCAGGCAACCCAGGCCTTGGGGCTTCCAAAGCAGCTCGTCGAGGTCCCCCTCGCAGCCCGAACCCGCCGGCCCCCTCGCTCCCGCGGTGGAGCAGCTTCCTCGCATCCTCACCCGCAGCTTCACGTGCGTCCTCTTGCGCAGCCACTTCTCCCGGGGCTTGGAGGGCGTGAAGACGGACACCTCCTTCCCGTCCAGCTCCAGGACGCTGCTGTTCTCGTGCCTCATCACCTGCGGGATGACAGACCCTGCCCACGTCGGCCGCGGGACCTCTCCCCTTCTGCCCGCGCCAACCCAGCCCTTCAGAAAGTCAACACAAGCGATGCCAGCCCTGGAGAGAGACTTTTGGCTTCGCTCCTCCTCTGCCAGGCACTGAAAAGCCACATACAGAGCTTCTCCTTCACTGTGGTTATATTTGGTGCTATTCTACACTAAGTTTTCCGTCTTTCTGCTGTTGAGAGGGGAAAGGAAAGGACAGAAAACAGGTGTGCTGCAGCGAAGGGGTTTTCTTCCCCATCTCCAAGCCCCAAAGAGGTAGGGAATGGGGCAGCAGAGGAGAAAAGCAAAGAACCTCCAATAACCTCCAGCAGAAACGTGGCCTGGGGGGCCCGTACCTGTCTCAGCAGGAAGGAGACGACGTCTGTGGACTCCCAATAGCTGGCGTGGAAGAGGTGCGGCAGGGCCACTGTGGGAAAGGCCGTGAGCGCGTCGGGGCAGTAGAGAGCGTAGTCGATCCTCTTGGTTCCCCACCACTTGGCAGCAACTGGAAGGAGAGAGGGCCTCGCTCGAAGCGGGCCCGCGGGCATGAGCGGCCGCGGGCACGAGGGCTTGGCGAGGCGGCGGCTCCCGGCCGCTCCTCCCAGGGAGACGGGACGGAGCGGAGCCAGGGCTCATGGAGCAGCACCACCACCTTGGCTCAGACGGAAAGGAAGGCACTGGAGGGCAGGCGTTAAGCAGCTCTTCATCCCAGGCAGCACATGCCCACAGCCCCCGTGTCCTCCTCCTCAGRCTATCACAGAGGGATAAAAACTCTTTGCACCCAAGTATGGACTGCACTGGGCGGATTGGACTCCTGGAGCCCACAGAGGTGGTCAGAGATGCCGGCTCGGCCTCGTCAGGAGCACAGACGGCAAAACATGCTGGGCTCCAGCTCTCTGCACCGGGGACTGAAATGGAGCCCGGGTTCGGAGCAGGGGGTAAGGTCAGAGCCACAGAGAGAAGTTYCTCCCCCGGCGGGCGGCAGCAGCTCACGAGGGCCGGGCTCCCCGGTGGGACACGGCCACCAGGCTGCCCTGCTCTCCGACAGACCCCGACCCCRCGCGCCGCCCTCCTGCGCGCTCCGGCCTGGAGAGGCGGCCGCGGAGAGCGGAGCCAGGAGGAGCAGGCGCAGACACGCAGCGGCTGCGGCTCTGCGAGGGCATTGTCCAGCTCCGCACAGACAGCCCTCCCCTCCTAAGGGCTTCCCGGTGTAAGGCACAATCCAGCAAAACCCTGGTGGGAGAGGGAAGAGGGGCAGAATCACAGACCCGCCGGCTCCTTCCAGAGCCCTGTGCAAGCTCCCCCAGCTGGGTGCAGCCTGGGGGAAGCTCCAGCCTGGCCATGCCAGAGATCCAGGCTCCCGCATCCCAACGGCTCCAGCATTCCCAACGAGCCCTGGGCAGGCGGAGAGGACGTTGACCTGCCAGGCTTTACCAGAGCGCTCAGCCCTCTCCTTGCAACCATGTCCGACCCCGCGCTCCAAACTATCAGGTCCTGGTCATGTCCCAACCTTCCACCTTCCATGCAAATCCCCAGCTTAGGCACTATCCAAACGAAGCAGCCTGGATTTGCTCTTCCATGCTCAGAGGACAGCACGTTGTGACAGACCCGTTTCCCAGAGGAAATGCTGCTCTTGCCYGTTGTTAGCAGTGTTAGGGCCGATCTTTGGAGCAGAGTGACAGAAAGACTTGTTAAAAAAAAAAGTGCAATTGGAAACAACAAGTGCCTCGGTGAAAGGAGAAAGCGTGTAGATTTTGCTGTGAAGTTTGGTGATATCAAGTGGCAGAGGAGGCTGGGGCAGGGCGCCTCGCTCCCAAGTACCTTGCTTGATGTCCAGGTCGGGGATCCGAAGAGCACAGCCCGCGTCCCGGCTCCGCGCCCCTTCGAGCTTTCCTCCTAAGTGACTTGGAGGGATTTCATGCTTACACTGCCTACGTCTCTTGGACGAGGTCTGGGTAGGGGATTTGTGAGGGAGGGCAAGTTGGGCCAGAAGGCTAAAGCCTCTGCAATGATTAAGGTGGTATTTGGTTTCTAAAAATAAAAATAAAATACAGGAAACAAAGCAGAAATCACACATTATTACGGCACCCGCGCGCTGAAGGCAACAGCGGTTTCATGCTCTGGAAATTCACAGGGCGAGAAGGATGTGAACCAGGGAGAGCTCCTAGGAGGAAGCTGCTGCCCCGCGGCGCCCGCCTGGATTTCCTCCTGCTCTTCCAATGGGATAAACGCTGACTGCATCCAGCCCCGAGCTGCCTGAATAAAACTGAGCCCAACTGTTGCAAAGACAGAGCTCCAAGGATGGGGCAGCACTTGGGACACGAAGGAAGGGGCTGTGAGAGCCCACGGAACCGGGAGGAAGGAGTCAGGCAGAAGACGTGTCCCGCAGCCCCGTCCTGCACCCGGCTGGGCCTCCGACGGCCGAGCAGCTCTGCAGGGCTCGAGAGCCGCTGCCGAGGTCCCGTCTCCACCTCTGCCCTTGGAAAACGTGTTTCAGCTCCTGGGACGCAAGCACGGGAGCAAGTTGCACAAAACAGAGTCAAAGCAGTTGGGAATTACGGGCCAAGCGGTTCACAGCCCTGTGAACTGATGTGCAACAACATCTCTAAACAGCCACCACCTTCCAGGAGAAAGCTTGGGCTGGAGGCCAGGGCGCTTTTACATTTGCTTTTCAGCCTCTGTCTGTCCAAGCTGCCCCACGTCCAGGGGGCCCCACGACAGGGGCAGCGAATTTCATTATCTCCCCGTGATGGGGAACACACTGAGCCATGAGCAGAGCCCACTAGTCCCCGCTCTGTAGCTGAGCAGGTTAAGCAAGTCTCGACAAAAATCAAAATCCTTTTTATGCATTGCTCTGTGATGTGGGGGTCCTAACTTAGCTGACTCGCCGAGCTGCTCTGCAGGCTACAGAAAAGCTGACTTTCTACTACTAGAAGCCAAAGCTGTTTTTTCTTCTTGGTATTGCAGAAGACTTTACCCACACCCACTTCCCGTGGGTCACATTGAAGTGATCTGCATCAAGCCACCTACTGTGTGCTGCACTGGTCATCTAGCCAGGCAGATCCCTGGGGGTCCTGAGACTCCTACCAACCATCCCTCTGGATTAACCCGAACCACACGGAGCAGCCAAACAGTGCTCGGCAGGATCAGATGGACAGTAATTATTTTTGTTTAAATATTTGATCAATTTACACCCATTTCCACCAGCAGAGTCCAACAAGCAGCACGATGATCCCTCCACCGTAACCAAGAGCATCTGCTCCTCCAAAGGACACGGTGCCGCCGGGCGGGACGAAACTGCCCTAAGGCAAAACGGTTCCAACGCTCTCGCTTGAAAACACAACCCCAGACAGACAGACAGACAGACGGAAGCTGAGCAGATCTGTCCCGGCGTGAGGTGCCGAGGCGGCAGCGTCGGAGAGGGGAGGCACTTACTGTTGGCTATGTTGGAAGCAGTGTAACTGTCTGCCATTCCTGAGACCTGGCTGGCAATGCTGATCTCACTGGCTCGTCGGAAGCCCCTGAACTGAGGGGCGGACATGGGGGTGGACAGGGACGCGCTTTCCATGAAGACGGCACCATGAGACTGAACAACATCTGCTACAAAGTTGAAACAGGGAAATCAAAATATTAGACCGACAGACAGAGGCTGGGCAAGATGAACTCGAGAGGAGCGAGAGGAGGGAAACAAGGCATTTGGAGGCAAAAATTATAATAATGGAAAAGGACTTTCAAGAGTGATTGGCACGAAGCACATTTCATTGGAGCTCTGCTTGGAAAAGCAAGCGAACACCACAGCAGGCAGGGAGATGTGTGGCTGCAAAAGCGGTCTTTGATTGAAAAAAGCAAAATAATTAGCTCAAAAAATACATCCAAAACCCCAAACAGAAATCAAGGCAGGCTTATTTGAGCAGCAATAGCAGAAGCATCTGTCATATGCACAAATGTGAATATATACAGCTTTATACATTCACATTGAGGCAAAATAATCAAGGGAAGGGGAAAAACTTCATCCTAGAAAGTAGATATGTTTTCTTGAAGCATTTAGTCTTCTTAAATCAACAGCTCTCCAAGGGGGAAAGTGTTAATGCAAAAATATCAAGAAAACATTTTCATGCCTGGCAGCGGCTAAATTTAAACTTGTATTTTATTGCTAATGGATACAACCAACACTCGTTAAACTAAAATAAGGGTTGCTGAAAGGAAGGGGCCTGGTGCTGAGCATGCTCACATGGATGCTCTATGTGCATCAGAGGGAAAAAGACCCACAATGTTCAGGACTGGCAAACCAGAAGATGCTGGAAGTCAAGAGAAGAGCTCTGCACCTTGGTTTTCTCCCTGCAGCGGGGGCTACAGCATCTACCTACAGCATCTGCAAGGCTGAACTAAAAGCACCCAGCATATCCCGACCTTCTGTGCTGCCAGGGATTTAAGAGAAGGGATAAGATCCCAGCAGGCTGCACAGGGGGGATAGGACCATGCACGAGCAAAGCGAGCTACTGTCATTGCACGTTGCCCATCTCTGCTGTACCTGGAGGCAGCACCCGAACTTTTCTCGAGTTTCACCCAGGTAGAAGGCGAATGCCAGGGGACYACGAGCGCCAACACTTGCCACCTATTCCAGCCAGTTTAAATGTCCTTGGATTTAACCTTGCTATGCAGCTGGCCCAGGGACTTGGGTTGGTAACTGTTTCCCTTCAACACAGGTCTTTTTTCTTGGGGCTCCCCATCAGCTTCCTCCATCTGTGCCCACCTGGCCAYGCTGCATCATGAGGACAGCCAACCTACCGAGCAGGAGCATGGGGACATGGGCTGGTGACACTGGTGACAGAGACCTGCTATCCGCAGGCAAAATAAGCCCACAAGCTGCTCCTTGTCAAAGCTCCRGGGGCTGCAAGATCCGAGCCCAAGCCCAACCTGCTGAGGAGCTTCACGCGCTGCCCACGTTGTGCCTTGAAGGCCACCACGGGCATMGCTTTCTCAGCACTTTCTTCCCTTTTCTGCCACCTTGCACAGAGCAGCCGGCTGCCAGCACCACTTTCTGACCGCTGCAAAAATCAGGATGAGCAAGAGGAGGAAACTCGGGCCACGGTGACGACCTGGCAGCTGCCCCTGCATCAGGCCAGGCACCGTGGAGGCTCTGGCCTTGACTGCGCTAGGAAAAACACCGAGCCCTGTTTGGGGTTTGCCAGCACYTACCAGCTCATCCTGAGCTCCTTCCTCCTCTGCCTTAAAAATAAAACAGTTGTGGCCTGAAATAGGAAGCAGCTGGACCGTGTGCTAAAAAAAGGCATTATGGCAACGCTGCACAAGAGAGAGCAGGGCCGGGCGCAGGGCTGCATCTGCACTGGCCTCTGCTATCTCTTGTTTCTCGAAAGCAAAACCTGACAGATTAAGGAGGAGAAAAAAAAAAAAAGGGGGGTATTTTGGGCTTGCTCTTTTCAGGCAGTCTCCCTTTTCTAGGCCTGACACTGAATTTTTGCATATGGTGGGCTGGAAGCAGCCCTCTGAGTAGCCTCCTAGCCCCTGTCCCCACAGGAGTAACGTCCACCCGTTCAAGCGCCTCACCCACCCCGGTGTTACCGAGCTGTTCAGCCTGGCAGCGCCTGCGTGGGCGGYGGGCGTCTGCGGTGCCAGGGCTGGGGCGCAGGCTGACAGCAGCTCCAGCCCACCCGCGCTGCCTCCGCCTTTCCACAGATACTGGAATAGCTTTTTCTTCCACCTATGCAGCCCCTGTCCTCAAAAGAGGCCAGTCTTTGAGAGCAGTGACAGCCAGGAAGAGGCAGGCTGGGGCTGGAGGACAAGGCTTCCCATCCGGGACTGTTGTTCCTGCCACAGCTGAGCTCTGCAGACCAGCAAAGCTGCAGAAACAGCAACTTACGGATCAACCTTAAGACTTGATTCCCTCCTGGGAAACCCCTGTCATGCCATTTGGCACTGCCTCCTAAGCTTGTGGACTCGCACCAGCTCCGCGTGCAGCGCCGTCCTTGCCATTGTGGATGTGTGGGTTGACCTGAGCACCTGCCGGAGCTTCTGCTCCAGCGGGGCCACATTTTCTGCTTGTCAAGGGTGTCTTTTTAAGGGCAGACTTTCTGAGGGCAAGGAAGCTTCAGAGAGATCACCCTGATCACCCTTYTCCTGGCAGGCACCGCTCGGGGCTGTGTGTGGAACTGACTGCACTTCCAGGAAGGGTGGTACAAGCAGCACCATCGATTTCTTTTATTTTGCCTACCTACAGACCTTTAATACCCAATCCAGCACTGTGCCTTTTCATTTACAGACTTGTTTGTCAGTGTTCTCACTAATTGCTTCCTGCTAAGTGAACGGCTCCTAATGCACTTGCTGGCACTGCCTTAGGTCCCTGGGGTATCCGAATGGCTGACTCCAACCCGTGCTGCTTGCAGCCTGGCTGCGGCACGAAAGCAGGGAATACCAAAAGCATTCAAAAACATGTGCTGTCAAATAAAATAAAATAAAATAAAATAAAATAAAATAAAATAAAATAAAATAAAATAAAATAAAATAAAATAAAAYAAAACAAAATAARATAAAACAAAATAAAATATAGCCAGGAAGGCATTCAGCACCAGCTGGATCCTGCTTGCACTGCAACCCSTGGCCAGAAGTTTTTATGCGCAGTGCAATGGCCAGGCTGGGACTCAGCACTCGCCACAGCTGAACCCAGCACTCTTGGCCATGGCATGTTCTTGAAAACACAGGGCAGAGAAGCTTCGGACAGCCCCATCCTGGCAGCGGGATACACTAGATAACAGCTAAATGACGTTTCATCAGCAACCTCCTAAGTGACTAATTCATAGTGCCGGGTTCGTTCTGCTCCCCCACAGAACATGACAGTGCAGGCAAGGTGGCCACGGCATAGCTAAAAACCAGCTAGTCCTCAAGGGAGGGGAGGAGACACTGTTTGCTGTTGTCAGCAACGCTGCCGTTCTGTAGGACCACGTAACAACGCTGCACTGCTTGGAAACGGCCAGGGTTCAGCTTGTTAACAAAATTTAAAAAGCAGCAGAAACAAGCTCTCAATGCAGAGCACTGAGAAAGGGCAGCAATGGAGAGGCAAGACAGCGAGAATTAAAAAAAATCAAAGTCCAACGTCCCACTGAGATTGCAGAGGTAGCACCAGCCACAACCGGAGTAAGGCCATGCAGCACTTAGGATGGAAGTTAAAGCCAAGTACAACAAACTTCACTTTTAAGGCAGGAATCGAGAAATTAACTTTAACAAAGCCACCGTAGGGGCTGAAAGCTTCACTCGCTCAGCTCAGCAGAGCCACAAGAAGTGTCCCAACAGGAAATATTCCAAACGGGCAAACGCTGCTCTCTGACACAGGCCATCCCAGAAGGGGAAACATGAGCACGTGGCTCCCGGCTGCCCCTCAGCACCGCCCCAGGCTCACAGCTCGTGACTATTCCCGTTGTTTTCCACAGTGGTCACCCAGATCCGGACGGACAGTCATTTCCTGTGGCACAGCCTGAAACCCAGCGTGAAGATTTCAGCTCCAGGAGGCAACAGAGCAATCTCCAAAAAAGCACCCCGAGTACCCGACACCATAGACAATACGAAAGTGTAGATTACACACACTCAGCAAAACCAGCACTTTTATTGGAAACATCTTGCCAATTCAGAACGGGAACAGGGATACTTGTTTCCATGAAGCTGTCCTGGTGCTGGAGAGCACCCAAAGGGCTGCTTTCCATGAGCAGGATGGGATTGTTCTGGATTGTCTCAACTAGAAGCAGATGGGGAAGAAAACAGAAGGACAAGGAACAACAGACAAGTGGCCACAAGTGTTAACATACAAACAGTTACAACCGAGCACTGTGACTATGGATCGGGGTCTTCTTCAAACTCCAAATAGAGAAGGAACCAACCCGGATGACTTTCCAAATAGATCCACACCAGCGAGATTTGAACTGGTAGCAGAGGAAAGCACCAGGATGGCATTTCCCTGGCAGAAGAGGAGGAATTCCTCTTCACCGGCTCCTCAAAACGAGCCAGCTCCATAAATACCCAGTAGATCCAGGGAAATCTTTTTACTACGAGGACAGGAGTGTACTCGGAGGGGAGATTTACTCGAATCAGAGTCCCAGCCTACACACTGCAAAGCACAGGAGTACGCAGGGCTGTGAATCTGATTTCCATTCCCTAAGTTGGCTGTAATGAAACAGGGACTCAACACTTAGTACAGATGGGAAAACAGAAAACAAAACAAAAAGCCTGAGGCCTCCTGAACTCTGGGCTTGAAGAGCAAGCTATCTGCAAGAGGAAACCTGGGGCACAAGCAGAGCCACGGAAGGTTTTGTGCCCAAATAATTATAAAGGAGCACCTGCTTTTGACGTCATCAGCAAACCCCGTGCTTTAATTACAGGAGCAATTAACTTGGCGGGAGTGCCCTACAGTGCTCTCCGGGATCAGGACTGGATTTGCAAACCTGGGTCTGAACAGTCCTCCTGTGGAATGCATAAATCACAACTCTGAAATTTGGATTCCAATGGAAAGGAATAGCCTGCTGCTTTCCGCTGAGCAAATGAAAAGGCTTTGTCTTATGTGAGAAGAGAATTTAAAGCTGCTCTTTTTATCACTTCTATTCATCACGGCAGAACAGCATCTCCTCTAATAAACCTGGAGAGGGCTTTGGAATCACTCTGTGCATCTCGTACTTAATTGCTGTTTAACTCCTCTCCATTACACTGTAAGTGTCTCTCCAAACTTTGACACACCAACTTAACGAAGGTCCAGGGAGGCACCGTAGACTAATAAGTCCCCTGCTGTTGCACAGAACGATAACCAGAATGCAGGTTTCTCAGTGTCAGTAGGGTTTCTGCCTCAGGCTTCAATGGCAACAGGGAATTTTAAATGGATTTAAGAGGAAGAAAGTAGGATATTTAAGATTTTTCCAAGAAGCCACTTGCAGCTGTTACTTAAAATATACCCAAGAAGCAAACTGCTGTTCAAGTTGCTATAGATTCCCYGAGCTTTTCTGAGCCTAACTGGACTTGATACAAATGTAGTGGTGGGTGGATCCATTTTTAAAAAGCTCTGTGGCAAAATCTTTGTGAAATCTGAATAGCGTGTGGGGAAATTGCAGAAAGTATTCCATTTGCTTTATTAAACATGGGGTTTAGTTCATGCCCATTTAACACAGCAGATCTCCAGATTCAGCAATTAAAATACTGTATTTAAAGGTATGGAACCATCAGGAGACCACTGCTTTGCATTTTCAATTTTAAAGTGATACACAGTTATTCATCTCCAGATATGCCTTCTTCTTCATTTAGCCTTGCATGATTCAAATATTAAACAAGTGGAAAGTTACCAGAGCTTTGAAAGAAAAGGAAAAAAAAAAAAACAGCCTTGGTAGCTGGTAGCTTTGATATTCTACTTTGGTTTGCAGGCTTCATTTCTTTTGTGTTGTAAGCCTGGTTTTACAGCAGTGACTTCTAGCCTTTGAATGACAACCTCTGACACACACACAAAGGAAAAAAAAATATGGTGCAACTGTTCTTCTTGCCCCAAAGCCTTGACCCTGCAGGGAACCAAAGCTCCAGGTGAAGCAGAAAGGTCAAGTTTCATTTAATTTCTGTACAGCACTGAGCTTCCCTGAAAGCTCCTTGCAATGGGAGCCTGCACGGGGATGGCAACAGACCATGAGAGCCCAGGCACAGGAGTGAAGATGGCAGGAAAGATCATTTACTGTATCGGATCAACTGCAAGAGCATTGATGTAATGGGAGCTGAGGCAGGACGTGGCCAGGACACAACTGCTTCAATGCAACCTTCAACCAAGGCAATGTGGTTGGACAGCACCACATTTTGCTACTACTGCAACTGGGGTAGAGCAAGTGAGGAGGCCACAGATGGCAGAGAAATGTTTCCTAGGAAAATGGAGCATCAACTTGGCAAGCTAAGGGCAAGGCACTGTCACCAGCCCAGCAAGCTGCAGCCACCCGTTCTTTGCCTGGTTCCACCACAAAGCATGTGGTGCAACCAAGTAAATCATCTCATGGCCACACTGCTGACTGTGCTCCTTCCAGTCTTTGCTGGCCCCCAGARCATGAAGCTCCTAAAACTCAGCCAAGTTGGTCATGCTTCGTTATTACAGAAGAGGCCCAAGCACAAGTGCTGGCYGGAGTGTAAAATGGGGACGTCCTCAGAGAGGTCACTGCAGGGTGACTCTCTGCCACTGATGGCCTTTGAGTGACAAATGAGGGGGTCAATGTGGGCCACAAGGCACCAGTTTTATCAGAAGAAAACTACTTGTCTGATAAATCGGGCACAAAGTTAACATGACAGGGCCAATTCTCCTCGTCATTCCCAATTGCYCTGGCAGTTTCATGTACAGGGCAGCTATAACCCTTGGGGCAGGCAGCACGGACGCCGCGGGACTCACCCAGCACAGCCGAATTGCCATCACCCAGCGGGAACCTCTGGTAGCGGGGAACGTTAAAGGGGGGCAACAGGTAGAACTTCCTCTCCAGCAGTGGCTCCAGGCGGGAGGCAGAAGGGTCTGCGGGGTGGAAGAGGTTATAGACTTGCTGGCAGGCCGGTCTCAGCTGAAAGACTGAAGAGGGGGGGAGAAAGAAAAAGAAAAACGGAGATTTTCAAGATTTTCAGGTATCCCAGGGTGATGTCATAGATTATCAGAAATGTTTCTGTGATAGCGGCATTAAAATAAATAACTAAAGCACTAAAGATTAATTACTCTCCTCCGATTCTAGTTTAATCAACTGAACCACTTTATGGGTACAATATTTAGTGAGCAGTTTTTGGAATCTTTGTTCGTGTTTGGAAGCAAATCACAAACAGACTGCCTGATCAGCACTGGCTGGARGAGCCAGTGCTCTGCTTCCTTATGGTGCAATATAGATTCTATATGCATACTTGGCTTTACCTGCAGTTACAGTTTGTCTCATCGAATTATTGTGTTTGCAGCAGGAGGTGCTTCAAGCCCCTGCTTGGAGAGCACAGCGGGTTACGTCAGGACTTACTGTCAAGAGCTGGGATGACAGTTTTTCGCAGTGCAAGAACCAGCCCCAGGGGAGATCCAAAGAGGAAGAAGTCCGTGATCTCAAACTCAAACTTCCCAATATTTCCTCCATCCAACATCGTGGAGCTGCTGGATCGCCTGGACCCYGGGTCGTTCCTGAGAACGCTAGAATGTAAACTGGGACAAAAGCAGCACAGAAAGTCAGAACTGGGTTCAGGATGCTTTTCTCTTTATCGAAGGCTGGCTAAGTGACTGACAGTGAAGAGAATTTCTATCACTTTTGCAAAGGAACTGTGCCAATCAACCCGCCATGCCTCTGCACTGCAGTTTCACTAGCCAGCAAACTGTCCCTCCAATTCATTGGCATAATTTAGACCATAAAAATTTAAGCTCCATGTGGGCTCATTGACACACTCCTCCTAGCTCCTCAAAGTGTTTTTTGGAGGAGTCAAAACGTGGGTTGCTGGTAGTGTAACAGCCATTTGCAAGCTAAAGAAAAAGTCCCCCAGCAAACCAAAATTACTACAATATCAGGAGAAAGAGAGCAGCTTTGCAGTGATTCATTTAATTGCACATATCACTGTTATSCTCTCTGCTTGTCAGTATTTGAGTTCCTTTCATCACCTTTTTCTCAAATGTTATGGAAAGCTGTCCTTACCCATTTCTTCCCCATGGAAGTAATTGGACAAATGTTACTGGATTAAAAAAGAAAATAAAAGAAAATGGAAAGGAAAAAGAAAGATCAAAATTGGCAAGAGAGTTTCCCAGATCCTTGTGCACCCTGCAGTTTCCGTGAACGTACAAATGCACAGGCAGGACAATTTGGGGCAACGGCCTCTGTGACCACCTGGTAAATCATGGAATAATGTCACACACGCAGGAGGCTCCCACGTCTCCTTTGCCCACGAGGCCACAGGAGCCAGGCCATTACCATTCCAACTACCTCTCAATCAGCCCAGCACACGCAGGTCATTGTAATTAAAATAATAATAATGATACAAAACATCCCTAGCTTTTCTCCTGTTTTGGCAAATCAAGGATTACCCCGGAGAGAACACCTCTGCTGCTGCCACTGCCATGGGATGCTAAGGATGCTATTCACGCTGCACTATCCTATACTCTGCCAATGCTCGCAGAAATTATTCCCTTTGGTTACCCACCACCAGGAAATAACAAGCTTCCTTATGCCAGACATACGTATCACAAAGGAAAAACGGCAGAGTCAGAAGCGAGGGGAATGGAAAGCCAAGGAGGCTCCCCTTGGCGTGACAGGACCCAGTCTCCCCGAGACCATCCTGCCCAGACGTGCAGCTCTGGAGTGCATTGAAACACAAGGCACTTCCAGCAAAAGTTGGATGGGGTTTAGCTGTCAAGCCTGCAAGGAATGTGCAGGGAATACAAAGCTGTTTGGCTCTGCAGACGGCAGCCAGCGCAGCTCAACTCCAACGAGCACAAACCGACACGGCCTCTGGAAGGCTGATGGGGCCGGCAGGATGGTCGCATGGGCTTTGAGCACTCTGGCCTTCCTCCTGGGGTCTTCCTCGTTGGGGAGCAGTGGAGAACAAGGAGGCTTCTCCTGCGACGCCGTTTGGACAGCTTAGCCCGTTTTGCTGGGCACTTGATAGTCTTTTTAGCAATCAAAAGAAATGGGAACCAAGGGGGAACTTTGAATCCGTCATGCTCCAAGCAACCTGCAGTGCTCTGCTCTGCCTTTAAAAAGCAGCAGATGTACTGTGTGCATTAATTAAACACAAGCTTATGGATTTCAGAAGCAAATCAACTCGTTTACAATAATACAAGTACAGCACAGCCAGAAATAATGGACTTGTGCAGAAGGACTGAATTTAAAAATAAATGTGTGATTGTAATCTCCAGATGCTGCTCTGGCTTGCTGGGCCTTATCCCTGAGAAGCGGGTAGGGCTGATACATGAATAAAAATGAGTAGCTTTGGCACAAGTCAAAAGCTGCAGTAGGCCTGGGCGGAAAGGCCTGCACGTGCCAAGCTGCCATTTTCTGTGCCCGTWAGGGAAACCTGGCTCTGTTGTGCCCGTCTCTTGGCGTGAAGCCGTGCCACAACAGGGCTTGGTTTGCAAACGGGAGAGCGCGGATTGCTCCGGGATGCAGCCCGACGGGATGCTCTGCTGACGACTGCACAGGCAGCAGCGACGGCTGCAAGCGCTGGGCACAGGGCCTGACCTGCCGGAGGGGACAGGCTGTAGCCCTGCAGCGGGACTGACGGGATGGACACCCGGAGCGCTCCTGCAGCACAAAGCCTGTCCTTCCTGCAGGGCATCCTGCTCTACAGCCATGGGCAAAGACTCATTTCTCACCTGTAGTCTACAGATACATTAAAGAAAGAAGATCTATAACCCCCAAAGGAGTAAAGGCAAGGCCACCCAGCAGGGCACTGAGCAGCGCTCGCCAGGCTCCCTCCAAGTGCTTCCTGTTGGGAGCAGGAACATTCCTTGGGATGTGGAGCATCCCAAGGTACTCAGGAAAAAAGCAGCCACTTCAGTGCAACGGGATGAAGGGCATTTCTGTCTGCTGCAGTACGGGTGCTGTAGAGCAGCGGGTTTCTCTCACTGCCACTGAGCAAGGCAGTGCTCTGAGAACATTTTTTTTCCATATGCACAAAAATCGCTACCCCTCTAATCTCACTCCACATTTTGCTTGCCATAGGATGACAAAGTAACATTTGAGATCCCAAGTTACATCCCTCTTATCCCCAGAATACTGGTGACTCTGCTCCTTTGAAATCGTACCTTGAAAGAAAGGCCTGATGCTGCTTTATTGTGTCCAGCTCGTAGGTTGATGAATCACTCCTCTTGCGTGGCAGCTGCTTCTTTGGATCTTCTCCGTTGCTACGAGGAATATCAATGTTGCTTCTGCTGAGGTGTCTGCTGCCTTCCAGATTAGAGCCACTGGAACAATAGCTATTGTTCACTGTTATTCCAGGAGACAGGAGATCGGTATCCTGAGGTTTGAAATATATGGATTTATTCCTCTTGCAGCTGAGTCAGGAATAGAGCCACCTTGCAGCTTCCTCCTTCCAATAACTTGCTTCCCATTTGTCTCAAGATCCAGCTGAGAGCTACGCTGTACCTCAGATTAGATGCTTCCCAATGGTGTGTGCACACCCACAAAGTGATCTACAGAACTCATCTCACAGATGAGCCACAGTGCAAAGGACACCCCAGCAATTCAAATCCCTTCCCCTACCAACCCGTTAGCCTGAGATGTCAGGCAACGAAGCACCCCAGTTCACAGCAAAGCTCGCCCAAGTCCAAACCCTAAGACACACATGCTGGCCCCAGTCAGAGAGGCTTTGCCCTTTCATACAAAGATCCTTACTCTTGTTGGGATCCTTACTCTTGTTGGGATCCTGATCCCAACAAAATCAGGGTTGGGGGCCGCTGCAGCTGGCTGAGCAGATCCCTGTAGGTCTTCACTTCTTACCTGGACGCTCACCACGCTTCCTCGCCGGCTGCTGTCCTGGCTCTCGGACACGGTCTGATTGCTGTAGCACAAGGCATCAAATCCCAGAATGCCTCCGACACAGTCCCCTACCAAGCAAACCTGGAAGAGGCAACACAAGCAGGGGAGGAGGAAGAACAGCCCCCCTGGGTTCAGATCGGAGATGGCAACCAAAGGAGTGCTGGTTATACCTAGGAAAGGTGGGGCAACGGGCTGCCTCGCTTTTATCAGCAGAACTGCTCCATCAGTGAACACACGCTCATCCCCTGCAGACTCTCGTTAGCAAACACAGCTAATGTGACCTCTCCTAGCTGTCCCCATCAGCTGAATGGAGAGGAGTAACAGCAACATGGAGCTACGGTCTATGGCCCTAACCCAGGTCCCGAAACACAGGCTRGATTCCTTCCTTGCCAACCTTCTGTATGACCTGAAGAAAGCTCCCCTGCTGCTTCTGCTCTGTGTTTCTGTGGGGAGAAGATAACCCTGTCCTGCCTCCCAGGGTACTCAGCATACTGGCCCAATGAAGTGCTGACACCCCTGAGTACCAACTGGCTGTTTAAGGAGTTGGGGACTCCAGAGCAAACCCTGGATGGGGAAATCACACCAGAGCAGTGCACGTGCACAGCCAGTCTGATCTCTCAAACCATGCTGGGCTAGAGCCACTCTGCTCACAGAGGTGTCGTGTWTTGGGGGCCCAGCAGCTGTGCTGTGTCAAAAAGCAGCCCATTTCTGCAACAGCTCCAGCACTAGCTGCTGGAGGCCCTTCAAAGACAGGAATGCTTAAACAGCCTTGGTTTGCCATGGGAATAGAGATCCCATGTAGCAACAGTGGTAGCGCTCCGAACCTGGAAAGGTRTGTCGTGCTGAAAACTGATCAGCTTCACAGCTTTGTAGATTCATTTCTGAACACAAGCTCGGGCTTTGCTCTGAATCCCAAAGGTTCGACACAGAGCCTAAGCAATAATCTCTCTCTCGGAAAGAAAAGGAAACTCGACACTTCCTTACTGCAGCCAACACTGTCGCGTTTCCATCCCTTCTAAGAGATTAATGAAAGAAGAGCTTCAGAAGGAAATTGCTTCACTTGCTCTTGCTTTCATTGTGGCTGAGAGCCGCCTGTGGCTCACCTGGCCGCTGAAGGAGGTGCCCTCCGGGGAGCGGATGAACTCGCTGTAGGCCTGGTTGGCTCTGACGATGACGGTGGCCACGGCCTCCTGGTACTGCGGGGAGGARGTTGCTAGCAAGGGGAGCGCGGCGAGCGGGATGTGGTCCTGGCTGTTGGACAGGCAGCCCTCGTCGTAGCTGTATGGGCTGAGGCTGCACAGGGCAAGAGAGATTGCAAAGACTGAGCCCAACGTGCAGGGAGATGGAAGCCATTTGCAGGCAGCATGGTCAGTTAAAAATGGATCAGCATGGATCGTTAAAATTAGCCTCAAGATAGAAAGGCCATTTATTCCACTGTGAATGGGCAAGAGCTTAATAAATCTTTCCCTCCTATCAATCATAAGTCTTCAAGAACAACATACTTACATCGGTAGAACACCCTTAGACAAGAAATTAAAGCCTTAGTATATATTGGATTAATTAGAATAAATCAATCACAGAAGTCTTGCTGCATGATTACTGTATTCACTACAGCTAAGTATGAAATTGAGATTGAATGCCTCACTAATTTATTAGTGGGTGCATTGGCAAAGCGTAGTCATGGCTCCCAGTATGACATGCAGAACATCTCATGGATAGGAAGAACAGCAAAATTTTACATGTGTCTCTGCAATAAGGTGGTGGCAACTTACCTGGACACCAGCGAAAAGGCTTCAGAGCAGATGGCTGGGCAAGGGACTAGCTTGATGGCGATGTGTCCAAGAGCAGCTGGGTAATGTACCCTCATCACYGTGTCAAACACGGTCGTGATGGTGTTGACATCCCCTTGTTTAGAGCTCTGGTCACCACTTCCTGAGTCCAGGATGTTGCCTCCATGCAGGACCAGGAGGAGGACATGGATTTTACTTGGCTGCATTAACGGCTGCACTGATTCATCCTAAGTAGGAGGGAAACACAGAGTAATCACACCCAGGTAAAACATGGTAGCAGTAAAGAGGTTGCTCGTGCATGTTAGGTTGGGAAACGAAGAACTGAAAATCAGGCAACACGTTCTGTTGGGTTTCTGTGCTCAGCTGCAGCAGCCAACAGTCAACCACATATTTAGCCAAGCCAACAAACATGAGCAGATAGGTCAGCAAGTGATAAGTTACTGGGGAAGAAATTGTAGGAGGATGTCAGTCATTGCCTCTGCTYGACTAACTGAGAAGTTATAAATAAGTTTAAGGCTTCAGATTTACTTAAAACCTTACAGAGCAGGAACTGGAAGAGAAAAACCTTCAAGTCCCCTCTCATCCAAGGAATGGCAAACATCTGGTTGGAGGGCTGGTGAAAGAAGGCGGCAATGGCTGTCCAGATCCTTTGCTCAGCACATTAAATAAGAAGCCTTCATAAGGCCAGTCAACTGCACACCCGCTTTCTAYAGTGTCCAAAAATGGGTGAAATAATCCCTAAAAACCAGCCCTGAAATATGAGGTGCACCTCGGAGCGGGCCACCGTGCTTACCTCAATRATGCTGAGGCGCTCCACGCTGGAGGCCACGTGGTACTCCGCTGAYGGCTCGCGATACAGGTCGCCTGCAAGCACACAGGGTTGAAACGTCAGCGTGCGAGCTCCAAAGACCGTCTTTCACAGCAGCTTTGCTTGTGCCAGTGCCTCCCAGCCCCAGATCTTCTGAATTATTCCCCTAGAATTGCCCTCTGCTCCCCTCCCGCTTGGACAGCCCAGGCAATGCAGGCTTGCTTKTGCTCAGCATTTCTCATCACCTTAACAAGAGGAGGGCAACTGCCTCTCTGCATGTTCACTTTATAGAAGTGGGGATACTGGGTCACTGCAACAGTGGGATATTGGTGCCCAAGTGTCAGAAACGTTGGGTTTATGGAGAAAATAAAAGGCAYTGGGCAAGCTGTGCTGCACAAGCAGAGGTCTGATGTGACGCTCAGCCTGCTCCGACACGGAGCTACGTGGCTGCCGAGAGCTAAAGTGTCATTTTCCAGCGTGTGGCTACATGGAACACGCTCAGGTCAACGAGGCAGCTTCCTTTCCAGCTTGCATAAAGGGGAGCAGAAAATAAAACCGAGGCGGGTACGGGGGAGAACAAAGCAAGGAGCAAGAGGAAAAGAGGAGCTGCGAGAAATGCAAGTAATTCAAGACAGAGCTGGAATATTTCATTATTGGAGCAGAGAATCCTGTTTGTCACACAAAAGAGCCAAACCAAAGTGGAAAATAAAGAGAGCTTCCTCTTCCCAGGTCCCACCGGGCAGCTTGTTCTGCAGCACTGGACAGATATYTTTATGCTCTGTCTCAGCTTTTCCTTTTGTGGGATGAAGATAAYAAGTTTTACCTTTTTCTGAATGTGGCTGTAACAATGACATGGAAAGACTGTAAGATGCCACATGCAGTTCTTTTAAAAAAATAAAAAAAAATAAAAAATTTACCCTGGACATCATCGCATTCAGGGGTTTCAATTTTATCCATCAGATCATTGGAACTCCATTTGGTTATTTCTTTCGGGAACATTTCCTCATTGTCAGACAAGTCCTCTTTAAAAAACAGATTATTGTTTTTTGGTTTTTTTTTTTTAGAATCACACACATACAAATACGTACACAGACAAGAGCACAGAACAGCATTAGAAATAAAAGTAAGACCTCATAATTCTCTGTAATCTTATTACGACTTAAGTCAGCCAAGTGTTTATAAAGCACGATAGCATGGCTTTTGCCACAGAGAAAAATCTAAGTTCATTTAAAGAATGCAAATCAACATGTTGTTAACAAACAAAATCCTAGTACGTGGGAGAAAATAAAGCCAAAAGCGGGGATTTTTCTGCTCCCGTTTCGGGGGGACGCTGGCGGTTTGGCTTGCCTGCCTGCTGCGCGACCTCGTAGCCCTGCTCCGTGGTGCTGCTGCCRGAGATGGAGGAAGTCTTGGCAAGGATCACCAGATTAGCAGGACCACTACCCAACAAAGCAGGAGGAGGGGAGGAAACGGGAACTCTCCGGGCTATCTTTGGCCCCATTTCCTTTGGAGATGAGGGCTGCTCGCTCAGAGGGCTGCTCTCGTTTCCTGCCTGCCCCAACAGCACCGGGATCTGCCACCYAGCACGCTCACAGGGAACAAAGGAGCCCAAAATCATGTTCCAGGAAGACTGAGGAAAAGGAGGAGATGCCCCTGTGGTTTCTAACTTGGTTATCAGAGGCATCCAGGCTCTCCCAAGGGCTGAGAAGGGGCCCAAAGGATGCAGGAGCCAAGTGGCGCTTCAGCCACTGGGCTGGGCATGGACCAAGCACCAGCACCCGGCAGCCCATGACCGCCCCGCGCCCATAAATACTTAACCAGGACACCCGGGTGCTGGGTGTCCCTGTCAAGCCCACGGGAATCCAAATCAGGGCAAGTGGAGCCTTGGAMGAGCACCTGCTGTTTGGGCTGCTGGGTTTTAATTTCACAATGCCTCTTTCGTTAGGGAGGTTAATCGTTTTCTGATTAATTTATTGTTCTGTGCCTAGTATTTCTTACCCTGAAAATGTAGTGTTTGGTAAATTTAATAAAGAGTTATAAGCATCATRATAACAGCAATTTCAGATGTCTTGGAGATCGAAAAGCTGTAATCTTCAGAGGCATGGACCAGGATTCCCTCTTTCTGGTGCTGTACAGTTACTAATAACATAATCAGTTGGAAGAATCCTGGCATCAGTGACAGAAAGACTCTGAAATGCGTTATTCTTTGCAGCAAACCTGAGCCATAGCTCAAAAGCCTCTACGTACAGAGGACTGCACAGAGCCGAGCAAAGACAGTTTATTTTTAGGACCTTCTATTAACACTTTGACCATAAAGGACAGCACCTGGAGAGCACGGTGTCAATGTGCCGCTCCATTCTTTAATTATATGTAAAAAAACATGAGCAAATTCTCCTCTCTCTGCAGAAGGGAGCGTGGAGAGACGTGTTCAGAGCGAGGCGAAAGCACCGGCGTGCATGACTCCAGCAACTTCACCTAAATATTAAACTTATTTCCCTGAGAGGTTTAATTATAGCCCTTCTTGCTGCACAAACGATGGCTGCTGGGGACACCGCTCCTGCTATTAGGATTTATTACAGTTAGAGTCTGTCAGCATCTCTCCCCGAGCGATGCAGGGCCCGTCCCAGGGCCATCCGTGCCAAGCGGCACACGGCAGCGCTTCCACTCCCATRCCCAAATCCTCTCCCATTAGGCAGATTTTCCAAGCACGGCTGTGTGGATTGCAGAGCACAATCTGTACACAGAGAGACACATTCTGTGCTTGCAGAAGCAGAGCTGCCTTTTTTTATTATTATTATTTTACCAGCAAGCTCCTTGGAGCATTGCAGGAGAGCTGCAGGCACCCAGGCGGGCACAAGGCTCAGTCTGGTTACCTCCCCTCTCCTAAGAGCCCCTTGGGAGCTCTCCAGGGATTCCCCAGGGACCTGGATCCCAATGGGCAACGTCTCCAGCTCTACTTTTGTTACCGACTAGTTAAAAAGGCAGGACAGAGGGTGGATAGCAATGAAGCCATTGCAATGACTCACTCCTCTTTTCTCAGATGTATACTGCTACAATAAATCCCCTACGGCCAGGTTTTGYGGATGCTACCTAAGTTGATAAGCAGAGACACTTACAGCAAGTCGGCCCTTCTCTTTCCGGGCAAGAGCCACATTTATCACCTCGACTTGCACACAGCACTTRCTCCAGCATTGTGCAAGTCACTACCCTACAGCAGCATTCCCCCGGCTTGCTCTCACTCCCCGGGAATTTGGGATGTGCGCCTGGACACTTGGCACGAGCACCAGCCTCCTGGAACGCAAAACTACCAATTTCTTGAGCCTGAGCTGCAGTTCAGYCGACTATCAGTGAAATTCTGCTTTACAAAAACGGGGCATGATCGTCTGACAACTTCATTGAACAGAAAGGTCACCAACTTCATCAGAACGTGTTGGGCTACTGGGCGAGATTAGCATTACAAGCAGAGAGAGGAGCCCATCTGTCGTCAGCAGGGATGAAGCCTTCCAGGCTTAAATACACATCAAGTACAATATACAAAATGAGTGCAGGCAAACAAAGCATCTTCACACATATATGCACGGAAATAAAACCAGAGCTTTCGCCTGGCCTGAAGAGTCCAATTCCTTTGGGAATTCTGCAAGCCACACGGGTGAGATCTGGCACCTGAAGTACCTCCCTGCCTGCATTATCCTATTTCTTGCAGCAGGAGAATAAGGAGTTAATAAAGGCAAATGAGGGTCTCCTAGGGTCCAGAAAGGACAATTCATCATGCTTTTTAGTGATCTTAAAAAAGAAAAAGAAAAAAAAAAATCATTCTGAATCTGAAGGATTCAGGCACACCCACAGTTCAGTTCACATTGAGGGATTTCACCCACCACCCTGCACCAAATAAAACACAGCTCCAAACACTAAGATCACTTCGGACAGCTCACCCTGAGCCCCCAAACATTGCTGTGTGAAGCCTAACGGTGTGCTGGGTGACGCTGGGAACGCCTGAGGAAGCTGCCCCGAGGCTGCACGCACCTCGCTTAGAAAGGAGCAGATTTCAGACAAAGCAAGAAGTCTCCCCCACCCCGCCCCGGGCTTTCCTTTCTCTCCCTGCACCGCTTCAGAAAGCAAACGCTGGTGGTTCAGCTTCCACATACCATGTGCATCGAAGAATTCATCGTCCGAGCTGTCATCCGAGTCCCTGGCAATGCTCTGCATCCTCCACTCGGAGATGCTATGGCGTGAGGGGCTTGCTGGAGAAAGCAGAAAAGCCTTATGCGATACGCTAAACCGGCAAGACAGAGAGTTCCCAACATGATCTTTGCTGGAGGAAGAGTCGTGCGCTCCCTATGAAAAATTCACTGCTGCAATATTAAAACACAAAACCCCGATGATGCGGGTGTGATGTCAGTGTACCGCTTTAGAGATCCTGTTTGTTTACTGTTGTTATAACCTGCCAGCGAGATGCTACATGAAAGCAAGCTGTTTGTATCACTCTCAGGCTATTTTGAATGGCAGCTATTTATAATTGTTAGTAGGACGTGCAAAGTCAGCTGGGTTTTAAAGTTGGCAATTAGCAGGGCTGATGGGGAGCTCTCCGCGCGCCTCGCAGCCGCGCGCCCACCAAGCCTCGGCTCCAGCAACTTTCTGACGGGCAGCTAAGCAGAGCAGCCTGGAGAGAAATAATCTGTTTTCTGCAAGGAAATTGCTTCCACACAAATTGCATTAGAGATCTATTTAAGCTTGGAACTTGAATGATTTAAACAACATGGTCTCCTCGGCTTCGTCGGGAGCCACCACAGCAGCTGTCCTGCAGGATCCCCGGCGAGCCCTGGGGGTCCTGCTTGTCTCTCAGCCCTCCCTGCTGCCCCTCACTTCCCACTCTGCCGTTCCTTCCCTGTGCCATAGGAGTGTTTTACGGTGTTAGTTTTTCCAGCTGTAACTCAGCCCCGGTCCAGGCTCAGCACCTCTCGACTGGACGTGTCACCATCAAGAGGCTGCCGGAGCGAGCGTGGCCGAAGGACACGGGCTCTCCGCTCCTGGAGAGCCAGCGACAAAACCCCCGGAGCCTCCCAAGCTCTGGCTTAGCATATGTAAAGACACGGAAAGGCTCCGGTTACTAGGATGGCTGTCCAAGCGGATCACACTCGCATAGCCACGGCATGCAGGGTGCAAGAAAAATGCTTTTCTGCTGCGGTGCTGGCACGTGGAAGGGCTCCGGGACCCTGCGCCGAGTCGCCTCTCGGCAGCCCCGCGCCGGGACCGCGGTCACCCCGGGGGGACGGCAAGCGGGGAGGCTGGCGCAGCCGAGCCCCGCGCCGGGACCGCGGTGACGTCAAGGCACTCGCACAAGAGCTGCTAAAAATAGAGCGTAAAATAACATATGGGGTGGTGACAAAGGTCCTGCTGGCAGCAGAGGTCTCGCTCGGGTGGTGCGGGAGCCGCTGGGCTCCTCRGGAGCGGCGGCTGCGGGGAGCCCGGGCAGCCCCGCTCGCCTCCGCATGCTAATGCGCTGCCATCTCTTACAGCCCGCACCAAGGAGGATTAAAATATCTGCGTGACGTACTTCCCTGCACATCACAATTCATTTCTTTCATGTTTTTTTCTTCTCCCCTCTAAAAGCTGAAGCAATCTGCAATTTAAAAGAAACTCAGCTTTTGCTAACCGAGAAAACCTACAAATAAAATCCTGAAAGGTGGGAAAACGGCAGCTTCCAAGGAATGTCTTGGTATGGGCAGTGGGCTGCCTGGGCCAGGGTGCCACAAAGCACGGACCCAGCCCTGTAAAATCCTGGGGCTTTTGTATTTATGTCATTATTTATAAAGTCACTACTAGGCTCTTGCCTGGGGCTCACTGCACTGAATCACTGCAAGGCAAAACCGCTGTTCATCTCGGTCACCCTGGGCTGAAGTCAGCACTGGCTGGAGTGGCAAATGAAAAGCAGCAACTCAACCTGCAATGTTTCAGATGCAGGGAGGAATGCAAAGTTTCCCGCACCTGGGGGAACCTGCCGAGACCTCAAGCCCTCTTTCTGCAGAGCCACAGCCCGTAGGCACCAGCGAAGTCCCTGGTCACAGCTCTCTTTAGAGCGTGGTGACCTCCCTGGGTCCCCAGGAGCTGATGGGGACACGGAGCTGCATGAGCTGCACTGCAGCACCCAGGCAGCCTCACTGCAGCACTTGGCACGAATGGCACGTAGGAGCATTTCCCCACAGCCAAAGAGCATGAGTCACACCTAGGGACAGCTCAACACATTCCCAAATATACAACAGAGCATCTGAGAAGACTGAGCCTGCACCAGCACCAGAGAAGGCCTGGACTACAAGGAGCAAAATGCCTTGTCCCAAAAGGGACAGCCACCAAACACGCTCGTACCACCACAACTYACAACACTCACACAGTTCCCAGAGGAGCAAGGGACCCGTGTCCCAGCTTACCTCCCCTCTTGGAAGATCGAGAGGACTTGGAAGAGGTGGACCACTGCTTGGTGAGYGACCGCCCGGAGGCCGTTTCGCTGCTACTGGCGACATCCTCTGTGTCACCAGGCGAAGCGGMGTCCGCTTCAACATCCTTCTGGCCAGCGGCCTCTTTGGCTCCGTGCTGCTCGCCGTCGTTGTCGCTGCAGAACTGGGCCATCTTCTGAGCCAGCATGAGCTGCGCCTCCTTCTCCAGCTGCCGGATGTCCTCAATGGTGAGCCCGTACCACTCGTCCTGCCAGCACCAGGCCTGCCGATGGGCCCGGACCATCACCTTCCGCAAGCCTGCAAAGCCAGAATGGCCCCGTCACCAACGCTCCAGAACTGGGCAAAGATTAGTGTTCCCATCCCCTAAACCTCAAGGCATCCAGTCTCAAGGTTGAGTGTGGCATCAAGTACAGCAAGTTAATGACACTGTGCTGTAATCTGCAATGCAGGAGCTTCATGCCACAACCCTAAGATGGCAAATAGGCCATTTCACCCCCTTCTTGATAACCAGCCAAAATTATCCGTCTGCAACTGCTTTCCATCGGGAGAGTGCTTCCTAATTTCAAATCCAGGATTTTATTTTGGGACAGCCCACTCTACCAAGAAGGAAGGAGCCATGCAGTGCCCTGATGTCCCAACCCCATTGATGTCATGGGCAGCTGGGACATTTGGATCCAGCCTTCAAAGTCAAGCCTGGTGCTAGCAAAACAAAGACCTGAAACGTAACCTTCTTTTGTCCAGGAGAATATCAAGTGGTTCCTTCATGGACCCGCACAGCCAAGAGGGTGGTAAAGTGGCAGGAATGCTATGACTAAAACCTCTCCCATCCCTAAAAATCTGCACTTGGTTTCTATTTATCAGCAAAATGGTCTCACAATACAAGCTCTTGAGATAATGRGATGGGAAGCAAAGGAAAGAAGATGGACACTTTATTTTACAGAAAAACRAAGAGTGTAAAACCAATTTAAAATACAATTTCAAAATATCACATCCCTCAAAAGAAGAGCCATCAATGCACACAATGCTTGTGACCAGGCAACAGAAACTTTCTTCCAAGAATTAAAAGCCTTGGCTACCATCGTCATACCACTAAGGCTTAAAACAGGATAATCACTCATGATTTCCAACCAATATTACTGCGGAAAAGCTCATGGCAGGTCCAAGCAGGTATTTATTACTGATAGGAGGCACAGAGCATTAACGACTCTTAAAAGTTTCTACAAACATCTACAAGCAAATCCTCAGGAGCCCTCATGGAAAAACCACTGGCTATGGCTCCCCCAGTAACTATGGGGAAACTAAGGCACGGATGGGTTGAAGGATATGCCAAAAGCAGCAGTGGGAATTGGAGTCCCTGGGATTATGGAGTCACAMGACTTCAATTCTACGTTTGGAGCAGAAACATCCTGCACCGCAGCCCTGGTAAATGGGGTGCTATGTATGTGCATATGTGTGTGTGTATATATATATTTATATAATATATATATTCCTCTCCTTTCAGGCCACTTGATGCTGTTCTGCACCTTGGTTAGCCCCTACTGCCACAATCCATGCATCACCCACTAAAAAATATCACCCTATGCGGAGGAAACGAGTACCGAGCCCAACAGCCAACACGACGAATCAGCTCAACCTGAACTTCATTTGCGCAGCAAGATGAAATTTATCATGTTTTTATGTATTTCTCTGCCTGACTCTCCAAAAAGGAGCTCCAGGTCCTGATGCACATTTGAGCCAGGAAATTCTGACCTTCAGGTGCAGCACGAGGCTCCTCGGCAGCATCGCTCTGCTCAAACTGAGCCAAGATTCAGAGCTGTTTCCCTGACCTGATAACTTATTTTGCAGAAGCACCAGAGAATATTTTAGCCTCTTCACCTCCCATCATGATTGACATCCTGCAGAGCTTAAAAAAGCGGACTGAACTCCCATCACATCCACCACGGAAGCCAAAGAAATGTCCCCCTTGCCATAATTGTCCCAGGAATGGGGACAGGAGTGGGATTTTTCTAAGGAGGCAGGTGCCAGCTGATTTCAGTAATATTTGCAGCAAACAAGAATTTATTGCTTCTTTAGCGAGTGCAACGCTTTGGTTTGGAGAACAGAGAAACCCCAATGTGTGCACGCACGTGGACTGAGCGCCCCTCGTCTTTGCTTTGCTTTAATTACAGCGTTTTCCGGTGTGCTCCATGGAAAACTCATCCACGAGGAGTCTAGCAGGGTGCAAACATTTAAACCAGCCACGTTAAATGAGCTGCAGGGCCGAGCTCAGCCCTGAGCACTGACCTGGGCACACGCTCTGCCCGTGCAGAGGTGCTCGACACGAGCCAGGGCCGGGCAGACTCTCCAGCTGAATCTGAAAAGCTTTTGTTCTCCCCTTCTGGTCGCTCTTTTGGTTTTAAATAAAAACAGTTAACTAGCAGAAACTCAACATGCACCAAAAAAAAAGAATGAAGCCTCAAACGTCACTCAACTTCACAGAATCTCCGGGTAGCCAAAAAGTCGCTTTCTATACCCAGAAGCAGATCATAACATGCAAGTGCCTGGCAGTGGGTGAAGGATGTCTGATTTTCCTTGCACGACACTATCTCCTTGGCAGTCACAGCAGCTCCCACCTCATTACTACCGCCCTCCTGGGCTGAAGGCACCTGCCCACACGTAGCCTGCAGGTCYGTCCACTCGCTGCCCGCTCCTTCCTCTTGCTCAGACCTCTCTCAAAGTGCAGCCTGTGATCACAGCCACATCGTGCTACCTGCAGGTTGTTCAGACCCCAAGGGACAGCGCCAAATGGATAAACCTGCTCAYTAAGGTGCTTAAGTGAAGCAAAAGTTGGGGAAAAAGAACTCCCAAAATAATTCCATCAATCCTGAGYGACAACTGGGGCACATGCACCCTAGGACACACTGGCTTAGGCCGAGCGCCGGCTATAGGGGCGGGAACGCGCGTTGTCACAGCGTATAACCAGTGCCCCGTACACAGTCAACACATTTGTTTAGCAACAAAAGAGTCATAGCCCATGTGCAGCATTAGGAAGTGAGTGGGAGCAGAACATTATGCAGCGCCAGTCCAATTAAACTTAAATTCTATGGAAAAGGAGTAAAAAAGCACACAAATATTACAGCCAAGTAGACTAATAGCCCACAATTTCAGTCTGTGTCTCAGGCTGTCAAAGCACTGAGTAACTGTCCAATTAGTCATCAGAAAAAAATGGCTCTTACGCTCAGTAAGAGCTGGAGAACCTTTCAACACCATCCCCCAGAGCTACTCCCTCTGCACTCGGTAGCCCTTCCACATATTACAACCCATCCATCACTTAATTCACATTTTTCTTTTCTTTGAGGCAGATCTCCAGTCCTAGTGAGCCCCAGTAAAGGTCAGCTCCCACCTGGCTTGGATCCTGCTCATCGTGCCTCGTTTTTCTTGCTGGCTTGAGGACCCTGCACACGGAGTGCCGATTCCCCAGGAAACAGCTTTGCTGGGGCTGAGCACAGAGGAACGAGCACAGAAACACCCAGAAGGGGATGGCAGACCAGGACCCACCATCTCATTTTGCAGTGCCCAAACMAAAGCAGTCTACAAGCCTGGACAACCACATGGTAGCACATAGCTAACCTCAACATGCTCATATCCAACTGTCCTTCATGCTTCGCCTCTGATACTTTTCCACCCACTTGTTGCTTGTCCGCAGCTATCGTGTTGCAAKGTAAAGGCTACACACCTTCTGTAGATACCTGCAGCTTTGGCTTCCACTCTTCAGCCAYTCCACTTTGTCCCTCCTTGAAGACTTTTCTGATTTTATGCGTCTTAACCGCATTGAAAGACATTATTTGCCATCATTATAACAGAGTGGAAAGGCTTTTGAAAGGCAGACAATGAACTGGTTGGCTCTCTGCAAAGCCTCAATCAAGAGGAAAACAGCAGGCAATCTTTTATGAAGCACAAAAGCAGCATTTCTAAGGGACCACAGTTTAATCTATGCCAAACACCTCTGAACAACTGGAAGAGTCACATGTTTCCTTTTTAATTTAACAGCTACAATGGAGTTGTTATTCTGCCCCCATGTTTTGCAGTATTCACTGAATTAACCCACGTCACCGAAACACCGAGGGAGCTCATTGCAGACAGTCACTTGTAATAGAGTCTCTAACAGGTAAAAACTCCCATCCGCAGGAAAAGTTAAACCAAAGGAGCTCCATGAGAGCACCCTGTGACTGTTCAGAGAACGGTGCACGCCTTGCTCCACTGCTCTAGCAGTGATTTCCACATCAGCTYTCAGGAGCACTGTACGACTGAAAGGAACTATAAAGCCCTTTACTTCCTCTAGCACCAGGGGCTGCAAAGCAGTTTTGCATAAAGAGAGAGAGAGCTGTAGAAGTCCCGCAGGGGAATTTACTGTGTACAGAAACTAGCCAGCATCCTTCATGCATACGACAAGTTGGCGCCTTCTTCGTCATGTTTGTGTCCAAGGAGAGCCATTTTTTGAGATGGAAACGATTTAAAGGAACATTCCTTAAGTTTTGCGCTTGGCCACAGACCCCGTCTCCAGTGGCACGGCTCACAAGAACGACAGCAGTTGTGTTATAGATTTTCTGCAGAGAACAAATTACTGCCGGCGCTGCTCCCACTGCTCTGGCTCGCGCGGCCTCCACTTACTTACCCTGGGACACAAACAGCAGCCACCTCCTTAAAAGCACTTGACCTAAGAGCGAGGCATCGATCAAAGCAGCGTGTTCACTCACCACGGCGGGTTGGGAGCACAGCAGGGTTAGGAGCCACGGACACCACAACTGGGAGGGCAGAGGTACGTGTGTGTGCATGGGGGAATTCTGTCCAAAAGTGGGAGGATTTTGGAAAATCACTGGAATATATTTTAACCAGAAAAATCCTTACCAAAAAAAAAAAAAAAAAAAAAAAAAAAAAATTAAAAAAAAAAAAACATACAAAAAAAAAAAAAAAAAAAAAAAAAAAGGGAAGATTTTGCCTACCTTTTCACTACAGGACCTTTAACTATTTCTACATGGTCTACATGTGATCTGGACTCTCACATACTGTGATTTTCAGAACAACAGGATTTTCTTCTGTATGTAGCAGGGCAGCCTGGCCCAAAAATCTCCTTATAGCCACATCTTGTGATGCGTTGTATCATATATACCTCACCTGCGTGTTTCAATTCAGAAGCAACATTAAGCAGTTGACAGTGAACCTTGCAAGACTACAAATGCTCACCAACATCATGGATAAACCGCTCGATTTTGGACTGCATCCCCCAGTATCTGAACTCGACTTTACAAAGTTTATATGCACACATGATTGGGTATTTCCCAGGGTTGTTCTTGTATTCTTCAATCCAGTCTTCTGAGAGGGGGCCTCTTTTAGTCTTCACTGATTTATACAGTTTTGGATCCTCCTCAGCTTTGTATTCATGTGGAGGGATAGGATCTTTAACAATATCGATAGGATCTATAAAAAGAGAAGAGACACAGTTAACTGTGCCCTTTAGTCAAAGAGAGGAAGGAAATACCATTTTTCAGAGTTGATGCCATTTTAGTAAGTACTAGAAACATTACAGCAATTTAGTTTCTTTCCATTTACACTTAAACAACTGATATTTGGATTGTTTATCTATCGCTCCTGGGCAGCAATTGGCTCTGCCAGGGGAACTTAGTCACACAGCTCCAGAAAAGAGATGCTTTGCTTCAAATAGATATTTTTGCCCACAGCACCCAGACAGGTTCCCAGCTCCATTTGTGGAGCATCTTTTGCACACCCCATCTTTAGTTTTTCTGCTCTCACCCACAGTGCTTACAGCTCTGCCTCAGAGGCAGTTACAACACAGTTGCATTTTTTTAATGCTGTAATGGAAAAGACACTACCCACTGAACACCTTATCTGTGGAGCACATCAGGGGAGGGTACTGCTAACATGTCACACGCTGCTGCTGCACTGCTGTATCTGCTACCCTCTTYAGTGACTATACTCCAAGTTATCCTGATTGACAATTGCCAAGGCAGGAGTGGAAAATGCAAAGGAGCAGAATGAACGAAGGCATTTGAAAGATGTGCAGCCTGCCTGCAAACCCCAATGGAAGCATCAAGTGCATCCACTGCATGGACCATGAGGGACAGCAAGGCACAGGAGCTGCTGTGACATGGGCCCTTTCAACCCTTTTATAGGACATTCTCTTTTGCCTCTCCTCTGTTTAATCCTTAAGTATTTAAGGCTCATGAATCTCTGGCGACTAATGATGAAGGAAAGTCATGGGATATGCCAGGAAAAACCTTTTACACAGCTAACCAAAAGCAAAATAAAGGAAAACAAGCTAAAGGAAAGGGGCTATTCACCGAGAATGGTCTGTCTTTTCTCYGCAGGAGAAAGATTGAACACGTTGACGTGCTCTCCTGGGTCAGTTTTGTAGTASGTCTCGATATCAATAGAGAACTTCTCCACAAAAGGACACGTATACCTGAAAGAGAGCACAGTGCAGCTTAGAGTAAATCCTGCTAGGCTCCGCAAGTACAGAAAACACCGCCTAGGAGGCACAAAACCAGCCTCAAATCCACGCCAGCCTTTACTTCTGTTTTACTTCAGAGAGATTGAAAATACCACCAATATGGATTACAAAAAGAGGCTAACATTTCTTTAATAACTTCTTAAGGCAGGAGCTTGCCTTGGACGTRCTGCTTTGGTGCAAGGGCTCTGCTTTATGAAACCCCAAGTGCAGAGCAATAAAGGAGCCTGTTCCCCATGGGGCGTCACACGGATCACAGGAGCCAACGGGCCCCATGCAGCTCCTGGGCACAGGGCACCCACACAGACCCAGAAACAGCTTCTCAGCTGGCAAGAGCAAGCGCTGGCAGGAGAAAGCCCGAGGGGAAAAGCAAATGGTCTCAATTTGTGGAGACATTGACAAAAAAAACAGCAACTTGGTTTGACAGCATCTCCTCCAGGAGATGACGACGAGGACACGCTGCTTTTAGAGCAGCGGTTTTCAGCAAGGAGATGGCTTTCAGGTCTGCTGTATTAGCAAGTTATGTTATCCTTACGGATAGGACACAGGTACGAATGTGGGGATGCTCTGGGAATACACCTTAGGCAGGAGAAAGCTGAGCTCTTGCCAAGAATCTATGGAAATAAAAAAGCCCAGAGGGATTCTGTGCAGGGCTTTATTTCTTGCCCAGCTTACTGGGCATTTCAAGAGGACTAAAAAAACAGACAGAAATTGGCTTGGATCATGTGAAAAGGGGACAGCTCTGGTACTTGCGGTCGTGAGCAACTGCTCGTGCAGTCACGCACTTCGTGCCCTTCCCCAAACTATTGTCATAAGCAGCAAAAATAAAACTCTGAAACTCTTCTAGGTTTCTGGTGAAATCAGCACTTTCATTACAGCCTTTTTGCTATGAAAGATGACAGCACCATCAGCCTTGTAAGCCTGAAATAAGGCAAATGCTCTAAAAAGCAATGAGCATAGAGTGAGATCCCAGACTTTATTCCGGGATATCTGAAGCCCTCCTAGAYGAGATCAGCTGAAAAAATGAGGTCCCAGAAGGCTCCAGGGAACTCTCTCCTTTTCACTATAAAGGCTGCAGGTGCAGGTTTATTATTTTCCAGCTAAATGTCAGTTAAAAAATCCCCAGAACAGAAGCACCAGAAAACTTGCCACATTTCATATTCTTTTACGGTTTTTCTCACCCTACACTTTCCCCAGAACAATGAATCTTGCTTTACTTGACAATGCTGAATGTGACAACCTTCCCATCCCCATGCACATTTAAATCCAGCTTCACTGAGCTGCTAGATCCCTGCAACGTTAAGTAGAATGTGTAGTGCAGGATACAAGACTAAATGAGAACCTATTTGAGATTTCCCAGGGTCTGGCCAGCAAAACAGCTCACGTCTCAGAGCTACCAGATACCCCTTCTGAAGCACTTGCACAGGCAGCTCAGGCAACACTTACACTCCTGAGATCTGAACACTGGTAGGAATTTTAGGACTTGTCTCCACAATTGCTCTACAGGATAATATTGAAGATGTAAAAGACGTCACCGTCACACAAAGCGACAGCAAATCCTGTAAAGCAGAGGAACATTTCTGCACGTTGCGATGATGAGCGTTACCTTGTCCTCGTATAAGGATACGCGTTCCAAGATTCCTCTTCAACTCGCAGCGCTGCCTTGGGCAATATGGAGCGAAACCAGCTGGGGATGTGCATACCAATGTGGTAAACTTTGTGAGTGTACTGCCCGTTGCCTCCCGGGCCGTCCATGTAGGGTCTGTTCTCCAGGATCTCCACTCCACTGCCTTCCCCACATGTCTCCTCTCTGCTCTTTTTCTGAAAGGCAAGACACGTTACCACAGTTATTGCTGCCAGGGCATGGYGAATACCTGCATCTTGGAGCATATGAAAAGTGGGGATGGTTTCCAGGGCTTCTGTTGAGTATAATTTTATACAACCATCAGTGCTGTGTAGAACTGGAGCAGCGCCATCACCGCGGCACTAAGATCACCAAAGCTAGAGAGAGGAACTGGGAGAGACYTAGCAGCTCATCTAAACCTCTAAACACCTTTAAAACTAAGAGGTGGCTTAAAACAGAGGCCCAACAACACCTCAATTCCCGCTCCCATCCCAGGCTACTCATGGCTCTGAASAACACAACAGCACAAGAAGCCGCCACAGCAGCGGCTGTCACAGCAAAGGGGAGTTGTCACCCTTGGAACATCCTTGTGGTGCAAGGATGGCATGAAGAACCATGTGCACACTCAGTGCAACATCCACAGCCCTAAAGACTGTATCCTGTAACCCAAAATCACAGTATTTGAGGGTTGCTGCTCTTGGTCTGGCAGGGCAGCAACTCTCCGAGAACAGCTTGATGATTTTGCTCTGCTAATTAAGATTTTTAGAAGAAATAACCCAAGTTTGYCAGACTGCACACAGCACTCTCTGGCAGCCTCTGCATTTTGGCTTATTTGTAGTATTGTCCCTCATTGAGAACACTGGCAAAAATTCCTTAAAAAAAAAAAATCACCCCAAAATCTGTGCTTCTAAGAGCTAGAGACAATCCAAATATTTATTCATTTCTAACACGCTTCAGCAGATACAATGATGTATAACGCTCACTATTTCCAAATAACAGACTCATACTCTGAGCATTTTGAATTTACTCGTTGCGTTTGAGGGCAATATCGCGGCAATTAAGAACAAACTGGAAACTACGCAAGAATCGACTGCAAAAAATAACGCAACAACAACTCTTTGGGTGTTTTTTGCCTACAAACAAAACCAAGGAAAATGTGGTTTAACACAAAGTGATTAATATAATGCAAGAAATCAGCTTTTCTTTCAGAGGCAGGATGACAAGGAACATAACTATTTAAAAAGCGGGATATTTACTTCTAAATAACTCTCAAGTGATTTTAAGTTTAAACAGCAGTAACTGGCAAATCTAAACAACTGACAAATATAAATACTCAAGTTCTTCTCCCACTCCATAAATTGCAATGCTCCAGCAAGAGAAGCACTTTTTCTGAAGTTTATACCAAACATTCAGCTGGTAATTCATTTAAACACACAACCTCTTCAAAAAAATTACTGTCTTTCAGCTCTTGTATAAACACTGGCCAAGTCCTGTACAAATATTTATGACAATAACATTAAATAATCTTGATGACCCCTAAATCTGGCCAATTCAAAGGTCTCTGAAAAGGCAGCAACCCAGCAGGCACAGCGAATGGGTCGGGCAGAACAACAGCCCAGCGTGTGGAAATAAATTACAAAGGTTTTAGAGTTTTATTATATGGTAGGAGTGCAGGGAAATTATAAAGAAATATGGATTTGCTTTGGGCCAAACGACCACATGCAGAATCAGAGAGCAGCTGGATTTCAAGCTACCCTCCCAGGTCAACAGCCCTTGTTCTAAGCCAAACGCAGTCGGGAGTCTTTCAGCTTCCAAAGAAATCCCTAGGGATGAGCAGCCTCAGCATCTTCTAGGATCATGCCAAGCCTGGCCAGCACAGACAGCAGCCACCTCTTTACAAACACTTGCATCACATCAGGAGAGCGAGATCTTGAAGATTCAACCTGCTTTTACAGCCATGACATGAAACTGAAGGAAAAACCCCTCTAGGCTTCTCCTTGGAAACAGCAGTCAGTGCCACACATCTCCTTCCCAAGCCACAAATGAACAGCGTCTCCTGGCTCCCTTCTCCTGGGAGCTCTCCAGGAGGCGGGAGTTTTCCCCCAGTTTGACCCACCTGCGAAGCCGCACGGCCGGCGCTCGAGGCCGGTCTCCGTGTTACCCTCTCTCCCCGAGTGCCTCCGTCGCCAGAGCGGTCCCGTTATGGTCCATGGTCTGGTTAATACAGCCCGTCTAAGGGCATGAAGCATCTCCGCTCCCAGCACCAGAGCCCAAAGCCCACGGACGTGCTCTTTCTTAGACCATTTTCTTAGACTGTTGTGAAACAAGAGCTCTATCTCTGTGACAAAAACCTAAACAGTAGGATTTCCATCACAAACAACATTTCCAGTTGTTTTGTGCCAAGATTTTAAGTCAGGCCAATCTATGTTCCAAGTAACATGCTTTAAGGGGAATGGCTGGGAAGGGCAGCACAATTCAAGGAAAACTCCACAGAATCATGTCATGTCAAGCACCTGCACAGCCCTGACTGCTCTCACCCTTGTCTAGAACCTACAGAGATGACAACACAGCCATGCAAGGGTCAGGAAGGGCTCAACTCAATAGTTTAGAGGGGAAACTCATCATAAACACAAAAAGTAAATGCATTTCTCAAGCAAAAAGAAAAAGAAAGCAGACCTCAGCAAGGCACGCCAGGATGATTCTGTGCAGGCAAGTGGTGCTGTGCAAGTGCAGCACTCAGGGAAACGAAGAGCAATCTGCTTTTCAACCGTGTAACCTCTCCACGTCTGCTGCGGCTCAGCTGGAGTGTGGAGGGGGCTTGTTGCAGGGAAGCGTTTTGTCAACAACCATTAAAAAATAGCCCTTGATTAGGAAAACATTTGGCTTGAAAAGCCCTCTCTAAGGGTATCTGACTGCTAGGGGTGGCACATGTGCAGGCGTTTTAGGGTCACTCTAAGGTTGCAGCTTTCTAGAGCCACGACCCTACAGCAGGGAGCTTTTCTCCRGCCCCTCAGCCGCGCTATTATCGGGAACGAGCCGATAACAGAATCTTCTCCCTCTACAAATACCTGAGGAATGGTCCTCAACAAAATCAAAGCGTAGCTAACAGCCTTTATATACAAGTTATCTAAGCTGTAATCGCAGTAAACCGTCTTATATTGTATTACAACAGGAAATCCAGTCATCCCTTTAGAACTCCCTCTCCCCCGCCGATGACACTGGATGTTCTGCACAGCCCCATCAATAGCTTTCCAGGACAGATGGTGACACAGATCCCTTCCAGCTAAAGTAATAGCATTAAATTACTCATAACAGGGAACCCAGGGAAGCAGATGCACCATGATTAGCAAGAACGCCAGTTACTTAAAGGCTTCTATTAAAATAAATCTCTTGGCACAGCGGCATAGCATGGGACACAACACACGACCTCACCGTAACAACCAYAGGATGAATAATTCCCGTGAATGCCACTCCAACATGGACCTGGCCTAACCCCATTTATCATCTGCCCTTCACAAAAGCACAAGAAGGGCTCTAGACCCAAGRCCTTCTACTAGCAGCCAGGTGGATCAGCCTCGGGTTTTCCATTCGCCTTCCCAGTGAGGAAGCCTCTTGGTTCCCAGCATGGACATGATCCATGCAAAGCCCAAGCGCAGCAAATGATCCTGGTGGAGCTGAATGCGGCCAGGTGACTGAGTTAAGCTCATAGGTTTTTCTAGTGGTGCACGGAGAGGAATTCTTCCTCAGGGGAGGAATTACCACTGCTGAGAACAGAACCGTCCCCAGCTTGGGGAGGCTCAGCAGCGCTGCAGGAGCCCTGCACTTACAGCAGCTCCATACAGGACACGTAATGCAGGATAAGCAGGGCAGCTGGGATACACTCTATCATACCCGCAGGAGAAACACAGAAACCAACAAGCTTTAGAAACTGAACTTCTGGGGTTTTTTTGCCTCCAGACTTCAGTAGCCAGGATGCTCATTGCCAGACCCAGCAATTCGGGATCTTTATTTTGGAAGTGACTTTTTTTTCCAGCTCTGCTGTTGAATTGGCTGAGTGAAGTAAAACAGTCACAGGAGTCTCAAAGAGTTGCCGAGCACTCCCTTGGCCTCACACSAGGCCAGCAATCCAGGCAGTGCTCTGCTTGCTAGCTTAGCAGACAGAGCGTCACTAAATGGGCAACACACTGCAGCATTTTCAGCATCAGCTGGTGGTTTGTGCATTAGAAGAACACAAATTGCAGCACCGTTCACTGTGTTCGGTATCAGGCTGTAGGTATCCAGCATCTCCACGAGGAGAGCAGTCCCGTTCTTTTCTTCCTGAACAACAAGGTGATAGTGCTGAGCTCTGCACGCATCCTGTCTCTCCCAAATCTGCTCCTGTCAGGCCAAAGAGCGACTTCCGTGACTTTAAACTCCCTTTAAAGCACTGCAAGGCATAGCTGAAGCTCAAAGGCACCATCATCCCGCATCCATAGAAGCTGAAATGGGACAACTTCTGTGGTGCTGGGCTTGACCCCAGCAGAAGGCCTGTTTTGGCAAGCAGAAAACATGATATTATTGTGTTTTCCAAGTTATTTTGCAATATGACTCAGAAGAACACTGAGAAGAGCATTATCCCACATCAGCACTGCCCTCTGCACTGCCATGCTCTGCGTCGAGTAAAGCGACTGTATTGCAGAGAATGGCAAAAACAGGGCAGGCTGCATGGCGCTAACAGGCRGTCCAGGCATTGTTCTAGCTTTCTAAAATAGATTATAGCGATAGGCTTATCTTGTTTACCACTGATTATGGCTTACAGTTCAACCCCTCAATCTAAATATATTAGAGACTGATTACAAGGGGCTGACACGCTTCCCTTTCGCAGCGAAGTTCCTTGGTGCATCATTGCAACGTATTTATGTGCTAAGAGCAGTCTACTTCAATACCACACACGAGTAACGACTTGAGATTGTTCAAATTACTCAGACCGCCAGCACTACACTTGCTAGACCCATTGTCCATAAACAACGAGGACAAAAATCACTGTCTGGGAGCAATAAGATTTCTTTTCCTCCACAATGCTCCAGCTCCCATTGGGCAGCTGCATAGTTTGATGGTCCAGGAAATTCTTTTGGGAGAATCCATTAAAATAACACCCAAGTCTTGGAGKTTTTTTAATCCCATTTAGAAACAGACAGGGGTATAAAATAATTTACAG